CCAATGGGGTTAGACTTGCTTCTGTCAGTGGAGAGTTTTTGTCTAATGAAATCTGATCAACGAGGGGCTGGTCTTGGCAGAGCAGAGGTGGGACCCCCTAACCCCCTTCCCGCTCCAAGCCAGAATCTACCACCCGCCCCCACTCAGCTCAGAGCTTTTCTTTAGCTCTTGGCCTTGGGTCGTGTTCATTGTACATGCACCATTTAGGCTCTTTTGTTTCTAAGTGACAGAGAGCCCTGTTCAAACTAGTGGAAGCAGAAGAGGCTCTTACTGGCTCTATCTACGAAGTCCAGGAGTGGAACTGCTACAGGCGTAGCTTGACTCAGGCTCAAAGGAAGTCATCAGTGCTGGGTTGTCTCTGTCTTAGATGCAGAAGACGGCTGTGGTGGGGCTGAACTGCATCCCCCTCTAACTTCCAAACCCAGTGCCCGTTGTAGGAAACGCCTGTCTCCACCACCATTTAGTGAGGGCAGGACCCAAGTCTTATTCATGCTAGGACTCGCTAGGGGCTTGTGGAAATAAACAGACCACCCAAATGAGAGCGAGCAGAGGCTGTCTATCCGGAGCTCGTTAGCAGGAGGTCAGCACCTTCACTTGTATTTGGCAGAAACTCCAGGCAGGACAGGCAGAGGAGCGGGAAATCGTGCTAGTGGGAAACGGAGGGCTGCACGTGTGCCCTGATTGGAGTGTGCTGGCGTGGAAACTGTAGCTGTGTGATTGGTGAGGGGAGCGTATTTGGCTTTTTCCACTTGGTCCTGAGTTGGAGGGAACACAAGTTTGGAAAGCTGCAGCCGGTGACCGAGTCGTGTCCACTCTGGGCTGATTACTGCCGGAATTGTGGTTTGGGTTCCTGGGCTGGTGGCTGCAGAGTTCGTTTGTCAAAGATGGTCCGGCCATTGTCCCTTTGATTTGGTCCCTCAGACCCACCGTAGAGTTGGGCAGATTGGGAGTGCGGAGCCCCTCCCTGCCTGACCCCTCTGCCCAAGCCCCATCCGTGCCCGTGACAAACCCCGATTCCCTGTCTGCCTTCAGGGGCTTCAGCTGCCTGCCCTTTGGGGACCAGCGTCCTCTTCCAGGAGCCTCCTCTCAGGGCCACCTCCTGTCCTCCCCACCCTGACCTTTGGCCTCAGCCCTCACCTCTGCGTATAACGTTTGTCTTGATCCCAAAGGATCCCCTGCCGTGGTCCGTGTGCCCACTGAATGGCAACCGTACGGGCTATGATGAGGAGTGTGAGAAGGCTTCCTCGACGCAGTACTTCTGGTACCGGAAAACCCTCAACATCTCGCCGTCCATCCAGGAGAGCGGGGCAGTGCAGTGGGAGCCAGCGCTGTGCCTCATCCTGGCCTGGCTCCTGGTGTACTTGTGTATCCTGCGGGGCACGGAGTCTACCGGCAAGGTGGGACGGCGGCACGGGGTGTGTGTGTGTGTGTGTGTGTGTGAGTGTGTGAGAAAGGCTGCCTCTGCAGTCGAAGGGCAGAAGCTGTGCTGGGCGGGGTGGGGGAGGGCAAGGACAGGGATGCTGGCACGAGTCACCTGCTAGTGACTCTAGAGACGGCCAGCGGTGCTCGAAGTCACAACCCTAAATCTCGAAATGAGGACCTTCCCATTTCCTAAAACAATGAGCATTTCTGTCCCAGCCCCAAACCCGCACCACCCAAGGGGTGCCAAGCAACTAAACAGAGTTTTCCTTGCTTTGAAAACTTCACGTTGGCAGATGTCCCCAAGACACCCTCGGCTCTCAACCCTAGCTGCATAGTGGTACCACCTGGAGAGCTTTTAAAACTCTGCTGTCTCAGTCCTACTGTCAGAGGTTCCAGAATGATCATTATGAGGTCCCCCCTGAGCACTGGGATTTTAAAAGCGCTCCAGGTGATTTTGGGGTGCAGCCGAGTTTCAGAACTCAGCTTTGGTCTAAGCTGCTTTCAGTGACCCTCCAGAGCTGTCGGGCCTGATATAGAAACCTTTTCTCTTTGGTGTGTCCCCAGGTTTATACTCCTGCTGGGGCTGAGACACTTCTTTAATCTGCTCCACGTAGAAAGTTTTCCTGGAGAGTTTCCCTCATCTTCCGTCTCTCTCAAGCTGCAGCAGGCGCTCTTAACCCCCCAGTGTGCCCTGCTCATACGCAGTCTCTCCTCTCACCCTGGGTTAGACATGCACATTGTATCAGTCTTCAGTCCTTCATGGTAGATTTCACTGTCCCACTCCCCTGAGGCTTAGAGAGGGCAAGTCCTGCCCAAGGGCACCAAGTAGTGAGGATGGAGTCAGGCAGACCCAGCTTTGCCCCAGAAACTCCCCATCATCTCAGTTTGGTGAGCCACCTCCTGTTTGCTGACACTTTTCATGACTTAATCCCCCAGCTTTTCCCTTCTGAAGGTCCTAAGAGTCCACCTGTCCTCATCCTCTTGGCCATCTGAGTTGCCTTCTCCAGCCCCACCATGTGTTTCTTGAGGCATCAAGACCAGAACTACCCACGGTATTTTAGGTGTCCTGTGATGCCCCAGCACCATGCCTAGTAGGACATCTTCTTTTGGTTTCCGAGACCTCGTGGTGGCCAGCATCTTAGCCCTAACAATACCCCATCTCACCGCCGACCTGAGGGACTAGTGAATCTTCCTGGGGAAAGCTTAGAGTCTGCGGCAACTCACTCTGTCCCGTCTTGAAGCTTGCCCGATAGTTTATGCTCATAAAATTTCTTCAGTTGGTCTATGCCAGATTATCATGACCATGATCCAAAAGATCCGAGGGCAGTGTCTGCAAACTTGGAGATTTAATGAGGCCATCCCTTTACCAGATCATTTAGAAACTTGTTAGATGAGGACATGTCGTGCCATGAAAACTTACTCATTCTTAGTGTCTGTTTCCTCTGCTTAAGCCACACCTCTCTCCATGACAGAAGTGTCCCAACAGCTCTCTTTAGTTATTTTTTTAAATTGAAGTATAGCTGATTTACAGTGTTGTGTTAGTTTCTGGGGTATAGCAAAGTGATTCATTTATATACATTCTTTTTCATATTCTTTTCCATTATGGTTTATTACAGGATACTTAATATAGTTCCCTGTACTATCCAATAGGACCTTGTTGTTTATTGATCCTATATATAATAGTTTGCAACTGCTAATCCCAAACCCCCAATCCAACCCTCCCCTGTTCTCTATGTCCGTGAGTCTCTTTCTGTTTTGTAGATAAGTTCATTTGTGTCATATTTTGGATTCCACATGTAAATGAGATCATATGGTGTTTGTCCTTCTCTTTCTGACGTACTTAGTATGATCATCTCTGGGTCCATCCGTGTTGCTGCAGATGGCATTATTTCATTCTTTTTATGGCTGAGTAATAGTCCATTGTTTACACACACCACATCTTCTTTACCCATTCATCTGTCGATGGACATTTAGGTTGTTTCCATGTCTTGGGTATTGCAAACAGTGCTGCTGTGAACATAGGGGTGCATGTAGCTTTTTGAATTATAATTTTGTCTGGATATATGCCCAGGAGTGGGATTGCTGGATCACATGGCAACTCTATTTTTCGTTTTCTGAGGAACTTCCACACTAGTTTTCCATAGTGGCTGCACCAACTTACATTCCCACCAACAGTGTAGGAGGGTTCCCTTTTCTCCACACCCTCTCTAGCATTTGTTATTTGTAGACTTTTTAATGATGGCCATTCTGACCAGTGTGAGGTGGTACCTCATTGCAGTTTTGATTTGCATTTCTCTAATGATTAGCAATGTTGAGCATCTTTTCATGTGCCTGTTGGCCATCTGTATGTCTTCTTTGGAGAAATGTTTATTTAGGTCTTCTGCCCATTTTTGGATTGGGTTGTGTTTTGTTGTTGTTGTTGAGTTGTATGAGCTCCAACAGCTCTATTTATGGGAATTAATTTTGTTAAAGACTGTGTGCCGTATCCTGGCCTTCTCTGTTGGAATCTGCTTTTTACCCCTCCAGATTATTTAGAAATGTTTTTTTTTTTTTTTTCAGATTATTTAGAGATGGTTTTTCCCAATAGTTCAGGCTGGATCATGTGTCCAGCAAACCTGCCAGCTTCCCTGATGGGGGAGAAGTGAGCCAGCCTGGCCTCGACTCCAGAGAGCCTTCCGGGAAACTTGTTCACCTGAGGGGAAGGGGGGAGATTCCAAGGGCTTGCTCTGAGCGTCCTCTAAGTGTCCAGTGGTTACCGACATTGGTCACCCCTCCCCTGTTGTCTCTTGCTTTCCTTCAGCTCACTGGCCGGATGCCCTCTCTTTCCACCTATCCATTTCCACCTCAGACCTGGTTTTTCTTGTAATCTCAGGTGGATTTATTACTCATCTCAAGTTCAGTGTTTTCAGTTAAGAAGCAGTCATAAAAGATACACCCCACTTCTGCCTGCCATTCCCAGGGTGAGAGGGGACAGAGCACCACTCTGGTGACCTTGGAAATTCATGGGAAGATGGGTGCCACACCTCAGTGGGAATGTCGGGCCAGGTGCAACTCAGGCTCATCTGGACTTGGGTCACCAGCTATATTTCTCATAGGAGGATGTAAACATTAAGGGAACTGCTCTCACCAAAAACAAACAAACAAACTTGCAAAGTATTTCACTGCTTTATATATGGGGCTCTTGTGCACATACAAGTTGATATAGAGAAAAAAAAATTCCAGTCCTGGATGGGCATCCATGCACTTGAAGGTCCCTATTGTAAGGCTTTGTAAAAGTTAAAATTACCCAGAATACGAGAGGCTACTTCTAAATCCACCATGGAAAGCAAAGATAAAACATCATTGAACCCATGACATATGTCAGCAGGGAAAGGTTTTGGTTCACAGAAAATTCCATCAATTTTAAAGCCTCTGGAAGTGAGGCCTTTCATAAAAAATCACTGAATTTCTATTGTATTTATTATAGGAACACCAGTGGTCAAGACTTTTCCTTTATGGCACCCATGGCTAAGCTTCTCTCAGGCTGCAGTCCTGGGGATACCTGACCTTCCTCCAAGCTCTTGGACTTTTTCTTTTTCCTTTCAGAGACAATATAAATCTTGTGATTGTGCTTCCTGCTTTGCTTGGGCCACGAGGAAGCTCAGAGATCGATCTGGCTCAGAAACTGGGTAGCACCTCACACACCTATTCTGTGGGCTGCCTTTTTCTTTGGGCTTATCTTACTGGATTGCCCACATTTTCTTTTTACACAGATATCTTTATCTAGCAGTTTTAACATGTTAATGTGATGATGTATTTTTGTGGGCTGCCTCAAATCCTTTCTGGAAGAAGTTCGGGTTGAAGGGAGGGTGGAGGACAGAGGTCTCTAGGACCTGTTCCCTCTTCTCCACTACATAAGAGATTTCCTGGTGGTCACACACGTGGGCATCCACATCCCACCACCCAGTTTCCCAAACTCGGAACCTGTGCCTGACCAAGACTCTCGATACCTTTCCAGCTATCAGTAGCCCGAACAGCCAAGACAGTGCCATGGTTTTTTTGTGGGGATGGCGGGTCTGCCCTGGGCAAAAGGGTCCTGTAGTCACTGCATCTCCAGGAGGCTGACCCTGCCCTCTGCTGCCCGCAGGTGGTGTACTTCACTGCGTTGCTGCCCTACTGCGTGCTCGTCATCTACCTGGTCAGGGGCCTCACGCTCCACGGAGCCACCAACGGCCTGGCATACATGTTCACTCCCAAGGTATGGGCTGGAGGGGAGGGGTCCCGAGGGCACCCCCATTCATCCTGCCACCTTCCAGGATGGGTGGAAGGGGGAAGACCAAGGGTTGGGGGAACAGTAGTGGACCCGGGGAAGGTGGGTGTGAGCCCGCCAGGCAGTGGAGGGGCGTGGATTCCGTCCTCAGACAGGCAGTCCCTATGCCCTGCTAATTCTGGGGCATTACATCTTCCGTCCACTCTCCTCTTGCTACCCCAGCCCCACATCTGGCCTTCACCCCAGTCTCACCCCAAACCCTCCCTCCAGCCTGTGGACCAAGCTGTTCACCAGGAGCGTCACGCCAGTCAGCTCACCCTCCTGCTCGCACCTCCATGCACCCCGCTCCCGACAGGGGTGCATCCATACTCCGCAGGGCTCTCCGTGATCCAGTCCCAGGCACCCCGCTCCTCAGTCACCCCATAACTGATGCTAATCAAGGGAGGCCACCATTGCCTTTGGGGCAGGACAAGTTATTCATTTAGCAAATCTGGTCCCTGGAAACAAAATGACTTTGGCAGCACCCCGCCATTAGTGCCCCCATCACATTCCAAATGCCCCCTAACATTAGTGCTGCGGTACAACCCAGACCTAGACACCAGCACCGCCATTTCTGGAGGCCCAGACCCGTGCAGTGCCTGGGTCATGGATCAGGGGCTCAGTACCTTTAAAACTTATTTTATCCTACACTTTTCAATTGCACACCTCCTGCGGGTGAGAGGCAGTGGAGGGTAGGACAAAAGGATGCGTTTTATCTGCTGAGGACCGGGCTGGGCACGCATGGGGCCGGGAGAGCTGGGTTCGGGCCCCAGGCCTGCATCTGGCTGGCTGTGTGCCATGGGCAATTTCCTTCCCCTCTCTGGGCCTCCTGCCCCCTGCTGATCTGGGAGTCTGGGATTCCCACCCGGGGTTCTCCAGCCTTGTCCCTGCTGGCTTTCCAGATGGAGCAGCTGGCCAACCCGAAGGCCTGGATCAACGCAGCCACCCAGATCTTCTTCTCGCTCGGCTTGGGGTTCGGCAGCCTCATCGCCTTCGCCAGCTACAACGAGCCCTCCAACAACTGCCAGAAGCACGCCGTCATCGTGTCCATCATCAACAGTTCCACCTCCATCTTTGCCAGCGTCGTCACCTTCTCCATCTATGGCTTCAAGGCCACCTTCAACTACGAGAGCTGCTTGAACAAGTAAGCCTGGGTCATCCGGTGGGCCCCAGGCCTCAAGGCGGGGGCAGTGGGCCTCTAAAGGCCCGAGCTGAAAGGGCCTGTGGGAGGAGGCAGACACCAGAAGTCAAGGGGTGTGGGGCAAAGGGCACCGGCTTTGCTGTCCTCAACCCGGGGTCAAATCGGAACCACCAGCAGCCGATAAGCATAAGGCAAGCCGGCGTCTGCCTGCAGGGACGAGGGCAGCTTTGTGTATTCAAAGCACTTAGCGCCAATAGGGCCTTCAACAGATAAACCTTAGCTGCTTCTACCCCATCTCCCCCCTCAGAAGTAACCAAGAGCTCTCCAGCTGAGCCCTGGAGATTGCAGGATCTACTTTCCGCTGCCCCTTACCCAAAATATAAGAAACATCATCCAGAAGGCGTGCTGTCCAATACAGTGGTCACTAGCCACAAGGGGCTGGTGTAAACATTTAAATGTAAATTGATTTAAAATTAACTAAAATTTGGGGGACTTCCCTGGTGGTGCAGTGGTTGAGAATCCGCCTGCCAATGCAGGGGACACGGGTCCGAGCCCTGGTCCGGGAAGATCCCACATGCCACGGAGCAACTAAGCCTGTGCGCCACAACTACTGAGCCCGCGCGCCTAGAGCCCATGCACTGCAACAAGAGAAGCCACTGCAATGAGAAGCCCGTGCACTGCAATGAGAAACCCGTGCACTGCAACGAAGAGTAAGCCCCCGCTCACCGCAACTAGAGAAAGCCTGCGTGGAGCAATGAAGACCCAATGCAGCCAAAAATAAAATAAATGAGTTAAAAAAAATTAACTAAAATTTTAAATTGATTTAAATTTTGATTTAAATTGGTTTCCATTTCAATGTAAATTCTTTTAAATCAGTTCCTCAGTTGCACTAGCCTCATTAGAGTACTCAGTTGCCACATGTGGCTAGTGGGTACCATATTGGACAGCACTGATGGAGAACGTTCCAATCATCACAGGAAGTTCTGTCAGACAATGTTGGTCCAGAGGTTAAAATAGCCCAGCTGCGGGGGTTTGGTTCCTTTGATCATCACTGTTCCTATCTGAGGCTTCTTCAAAGCCGTTCACAATCACTCTGCCCTCTAAAAGCTCACCAGTCAACAGATTCCCTTTGTTGGAGCGACCTCACCTAATCAGAAGAGGCAGAGGGTTTTGTAATCAGCGACGGTTAATCGGCTGCCCTGCTCTGCAGGGTGATTCTGCTGCTGACCAACTCTTTCGACCTTGAAGATGGCTTTTTGACAGTCAGCAACCTGGAGGAGGTGAAAAGTTACCTGGCGTCTGCCTACCCCAGCAAGTACAGCGAGGTGTTCCCACAGATTAAAAACTGCAGCTTGGAATCGGAGCTGGAAACGGTAAGGTGCTGGCAAGGTCTTTGGGAGCTTCGGGCCCTTTGGGAGCTGTTCTAGAGAAAGTGCAACTTGAGGGGTATGCACACCCCGTGAAAATCAGGGAAAACTCGGGACTTCCCTGGCAGTCCAATGGTTAAGACTCCACGCTTTCACTGCAGGGGGCACGGGTTTGATCCCTGGTCGGGGAGCTAAGATCCCACATGCTGTGCGTGGTGTGAAAACAAACAAAAAAACCAAAACAACAACAACAAAATATATATATATGTATCTCCTTCCTTGTGCCTCTTAGAGGACGAGAACTCTGCCCACTAGTCTCCCCGAGTGCTGCACGGGAATCCCAGTCTCTACACAGTTCCTTTGGGTTCCCTGTGTCCTTTCTTCCTTTAAATTTTCTCTTTTTAAAATTGAAAAATAGAGGAAAGTATAAAGAATAATATAACAAACACATCTATCCACCTCTCCGAATGAAAAATTGTAAATATTTTGTCATTGTGGGCTCCGATTTTTTTTTATGTAAAAGAAAACATTTCAAGGATAAAGATAAAATCCCTTTTGTTACTGTCCCCAAAGCTTTCACTACTCCCCAGAGGCCAGAACCTTCTTTTTTTTTTTTTTTTTTTTTTTTGCGGTACGCGGGCCTCTCACTGCTGTGGCCTCTCCCGCCGCGGAGCACAGGCTCCGGACGTGCAGTCCCAGCGGCCACGGCTCACGGGCCCAGCCGCTCCGCGGCATGTGGGATCCTCCCAGACCGGGGCACGAACCCACGTCCCCTGCATCTGCAGGCGGACTCTCAACCACTGCGCCACCAGGGAAGCCCTGTAAGAGCTACATTTTATTCCATCATTCAAATATCCTACAATTTACTGGACCCAGGCCAGCGGCAGTAGAAGCCCAAAGTCCTAACCACTGGACAACCAGGGAGTTCCCTATGGATTCCCTTACTGATAGACATTTGGGTTTTTCCAAAAAACTTTTGCTACTAAAATCACCTTTATTTATATTTTACAGAATTATATTTGCTATGCTGGCAACTTTTTTTTTTTTTTAACAATTGAAGTATTGTGTTACTTTCTTACATACATCAAAGTGAGTCGGTTATACGTATATATTCTTTTTCATATTCTTTTCCGTTATGGGATATTACAGGATATTGAATATAGTTCCCTGTGCTGTAGAATACTACCTTCTGGTTTATCCATTCTATATGTATAGTTTCCATCTGCAGGTCCGAAACCCCCAATCAAACCCTCCCCCAACCCCGCTAGGCAACCACAAGTCTATTCTCTATGTATGTGAGTCTTTTGTTCTTTCGTAGATAAGTTCATTTGTCATATTTAGTTTTTCAAACTTTGTTGAATTTAATTTTATTTTATATTGGGGTATAGTTGATTTACACTCTTGTGTTTGTTTTAGACATCCAGCAACCTGATTCAGTTATACGTAGATACAGATCTATTCTTTTTCAGATTCTTTTCCCCTATAGGTTATTAAAGGGTGTTGAGTAGAATTCCCTGTGCTACAGAGTAGGTCTTTGTTGGTATCTCTTTTATATATATTAGTGCGTATATGTTAATCACAACCTCCCAAGTTATACCTCCTCCACCCCACTTTTCCCATTTGGTAACTGTTAAGTTTCTTTTCTAAATCTGAGAGCCTGTTTCTGTTTTGTAAATTGGTACATTTGTATCACTTTTCAGATTCCACCTGTAAATGATGTCATATGATATTTGTCGTTATCTGTCTGACTTACTTCATTTAGTATGATCATCTCTAGGTCCATCCTTGTTGCTGCAAATGGCATTATTTCAATTTTTATGGCTGAGTAATATTCCGTCGCATATATTCACATCTTTTCTATCCATTTCTCTGTCAATGGACATTCTGGTTGCTTCCATGTCTTGGCTATTGTAAACAGTGTGGCAGTAAAGGTTGGGTGCGTGTGTCTTTCCGAATGACGGTGCTCTCTGGGACTACGCCCGTGACTGGGACTGCAGGATCGTATGGTGGCTCTATTTTTAGTTTTTTAAAGAAACTGCAGATTGTTCGCCATAGTGGCTGTCACAACTTTCCATTCCCACCAGCAGCGTGTAGGCAGCTTCCCTTTTCTCCACACCCTACTCTGCATTTATGCTTTGTGGACGTTTGTTGATGGCCATTCTGACTGGTGCGAGATAATACCTTGTCCAAGTTTTGATTTGCATTTCTCTAATAATTAGCAATGTTGAATATCTATCCCTGTGCTTTTTTTTTTTTTTTTTAACAGTGTGAGTAAAGCTAAACTCTTGAAACTGGCTTCTTGAAAGTCGGCCCTGTTTTGAATTCTTTTTCCGTTACCTACAACAGGACATTTCTTTAGACCAGGGGTCATTTACTGCCCCGCAGGCTTTGGGAATATTAAGTGCCCATAAGCCCCCTTTTAAAGATGTTGTTATGAGAAACGGCCACAAGGCGGCAGCATTTCTTCATGCCCCACTCTGGTAACTCCAGCAACCAGAGACTTAGAGAAAGTCATATTCCTGGGTTGTAAATTACATGGAAAATGCCCGAAGAAAACCCCGAGGGTTTACATCTCGTCTCGTTACTTCATCCCCTCACCGCACAGACTGATCCCCAACCCCTGCAAAAGTGCTATGCAGATGGTGCTGTGGTACATACAGGGGGCGCCTCTAAGGAACGAGGCTAGAGGTGGGAACCCCACCACCAAACCCATGAAGACCAGGTGACTTTTCAAAGCTCTTCCTACCCAGAGGGTCCACCGTCCTTTGGGTGCACTAGGCTTGCTTCAGCTGTAGGAGGACCTGCCTGGATCTGGAGATTGTAGTCCCATGCAGAGGGGACCAGGCACTACAGGTCCAAGGGGTGGGGCTCGTTTGCCGGCACATCCTGCCCACCCAGCTCCCTCAGCCCCAGCATACTCCAGACTTGGGACCCAATCCTGCTCAGGCTCCAGGGATGTGACACCAGCCCAGGTCACCGAGGCCTCAGGGCAATATAGTAGGCGTTTTTTCCCTCTTTTTTCTTTAAATTTAATTTTTACTTTCTGTTGGAGTATGGTTGATTTACAGTGCTGTGTTTGAGTTTTACAGCAGCTTGATTTAGTTATACATGTACCTGTTCTCTTTCAGATTCTTTTCCCACATAGGTTATTACTGAGTGTTGAGTAGAGGTCCCTGTGCTCTCTAGTAGGTCCTCACTGGTTATCTATTTTTATACATATATATGTGTATGTGTGTGTGTGTGTGTGTGTGTGTGTATATATATATACATATATATACATATATATATACATATATTAGTGTGTATGTGTTAATCCCAACCTTCTAATTTCTCTCTCCCCCCTCTGCAACACCCCCCTTTGGCAACTCTGAATTTCTTTTCTAAGGCTGTGACTCTGTTTTTGTTTGGTCAGTTACTTCATTTGTATCTGATTTTAGATTCCACGTGTAAGTGATATCATATGATATTTGTCTTACTGTGTCTGAGTTACTGGACCTAGTGAGATCATCTCCTGATCCATCCATGTTGGTGCAAATGGCATGATTTCATTGTGTTTTCTGGCTGGGAAATAGTCCACTGTGTATATGTAGTGCGTCTTGTTTATCCATTCATTAATCTCGGTGGATTTTCGGTAGTTTTGATGCCTCGGGTATCGTAAATCTTACTGCAATGACCATTGGGGTGCATGTGTGTATTTGAAAGATGCTTTTCTCCGGATATTTGCCCAGGAGTGGGATTGCTGGAGATTATGGGAGCTCTATTTTTCAGTTTTTAAGGACCTTCCCTACTGCTCTTCATTGTGGCTATTACCAATTTACCTTCCTCCCAACAGCATTGTTGGGTTCCCCTTTCTCCACGTCCTCTGCTGCATTTATTCTTTGGAGAATTTTTGATGATTGGTGCCAGGGGATAACTCGTCATTTTGATTTCCATTTTTCTACTCGTTGGCGACGCTGAACATCTTTTCACGTGCTTTAAAACAAAAAAACACAACAGGGTGAGTAAAGTTAATCTCTTGAAATTGTTTTGAAAGTCGGCCCTGTTTTGAGTTCTTTTTCCGTTACCTACAACAGGACATTTCTTGAGAGCAGGGATCATTTAGTGCCCCGCAGGCCTTGTGAATATTAAGCGACCATGAGCAGTGTTTTAAGCATGTTGTTATGAGAAGCGGCCACAAGGCGGCAGCACTTCTTCATGCCCCACTCTGGTAACTCGGGCAACCATAGGCTTAGAGAAAGCTGTGTTCCTGGGTTCTAAATTACATGGAAAACGCCGGAAGAAAACCCCAAGGGCCTCTGTCTGGATACTTCCCACCCCCCTCACCCTGCAGACTGATTCCCAACCCCTACAGTAGTGCTATGCTGATGGTGCCATGGTTCGTAGGTGGGGCGTCTCTAAGGAAGGAGGCTGGAGGTGGGAACCCCACCAGCAGGAGCCGTGGAGATCCGGTGTCTTTTCACAGCTCTTTCCTCCCAGCAGGTCCACCATCCTTTGGGTGCACTAGGCTTGCTTCAGCAGTAGGAGGACCCGTGTGGATCCGGAGATTGTAGTCCCACGCAGAGGGGACTAGGCACCACAGATACAAGGGTGGGGCTCGTTTGCTGGCACATCCTCCCCAGCTCCCTCAGCCCCATGACAACTCAGCCGTGGATCCCAAGCCTGCTCAGGCTCCAAGAATGTGACACCAGTCCTGGTCACCGAGGCCTCAGGGCAATATAGTCTGCATTTTTTCCCTCTTTTTTAAATTTATTTTTTATTTTCTATTAGAGTATGGTTGATTTACAATGCTGTGTTTGAGTTTTACAGCAGCTTGATTCAGTTATACATATACAAGAACGAACCTATTCTCTTTCGGATTCTTTTCCCACATAGGTTATTACTGAGTGTTGAGTAGAAGTCCCTGTGCTCTCCAGTAGGTGCTCATTGATTATCTGTTTTATAATTATATATATACATACATATTAGTGTGTATGTATTAATCCCAACCTCCTAATTTCTGTCGCCCCCCCCTGCAACTTCCCCCTTTGGTAACTCTAAATTACTTATCTAAGGCTGTGAGTCTGTTTTTGTTTTGTCAATTAGTTCATCTGTATCCTTTTTTAGATTCCACCTGTAAGTGATATCATATATTTGTCTTACTCTGACTTACTGGACTTAGTTAGATCATCTCCTGATCCCTCCATGTTGCTGCAAATGGCATGATTTATGTTTTCTGGCTAATAGTCCACTGTGCACACGTATGGCGTTTTCTTTATCCATTCATTCAACTCGATGGACATTTCAGTAGTTTCGATGCCTCGGCTATTGTAAATCTTACCTCAACGACTGTTGGGGCCATGTGTGTATTTGAAGGATGGTTTTCTACAGATATTTGCCCAGGAGTGTTATTGCTGGACCTTATGGGAGCTCTATTTTTCATTATTTAAGGACCTTCCCTACTGCTGTCCGTTGTGCTGTTACCAATTTACCTTCCCACTAACCAGGGGTTCCTTGTTCTTCAGACACTGTCCCGTATTTATTGTATGTAGACTTTTTGGGGTTTTTTGACCAGGCTGATTGTCCTTCGTACTGCAGAGGTGATAACTTGTAGTTTTGATTTGTATTTGTGTCATAATTATATACGTTGAACTCTTTCCTTGTGCCTTTTGGCCATATATATATATATATATATATATATATATATATATACTTTTTTTGGAGAAATGTTTTAGGTCTTTTTTCCATTTTTTTTGATTGGGTTGTCTTGTTGTTGAGTTGTACATGCTGTTTGTATATCTTTGAAATTTAGCCCTTGTAGGTTGCATCATTTTGAAATATTTTCTCCTAGTCCGTAGTTGTCTTTTTGTTCATGGTTTCCTTCGATGTGCAAAAGCTTTATGTTTGATTGGGTCCATTGGTAGGTTTGCTTTTATTTCTGTTGCCTTGAGTCTGACCTAAGAAAATGGTATGATTTATGTCACAGAATGTTTTGCCTATGTTCTCTTCTGGGGTTTTATCGTGTCATATCTTGTATTTAAGACTTTAATCCCTTTTGAGCTTATTTTTGTGTATGGCGTGAGGGTGTGTTCTAACTTTATTTGCGGCTGTTCAGCTTCCAACACTACTTGCTGAAAAGACTGTCTTTTCTCTATTGTATATTCTTGCTTTGTTGAAGATTAATTGACTGTAGGTGTGTAGGTTTATTTCGGGCCTCTGTATTCTGTTCCATTGATCCATATGTCTGTTTTTGTGACCATGACATTGTTTTCTTTACTGTAGCTTAGTAGTATTTTCTGAAGTCTGGGAGGGTTGTGTCTCCTGCTGTGTTCTTTTTCCTCAGGATTGCTTTGGCAATTCTGGGTCTTTTTTGGTTCCATATAAAGGATTATTCTGGTCTGTGAAAAATGCCATGCATAATTTGATAAGGATCTCATTAAATCTGCAGATTGCTTTGCGTAGTGTGGCCATTTTAGCAACATTATTCTAGGACTTTTTTTTTTAATATTTATTTGGTTGCGCCAGCTCTTAGTTGAGGCAGGCAGGCTCCTCAGTTGCGGCACGTGGGCTCCTTAGTTAAGGCTCACGTGCTCCTTGGTTGCAGCATGCATGTGAGATCTAGTTCCCTGACCAGGGATAGAACCCAGGCCCTGTGCATTGGGAGTGTGGAGTCTTATCCACTATGCCATCAGGGAAGTCCCTAGGACCTTTTTTTCCACATTGATTTTCAGGTCAATTTGACAAGTTCCACTGGGGGGGTGGGAAATCCCTTTAACTTTTATTAGAATTGCACTGACTCTGTAATATAATTTGGGAACAATCAATATTTTTTTCAACTGTGACTTCTGATTTAGGAACAGGCTTTTTCTCATCATTCACTGAAGTCTTCTTTTATATTCTGCAACTAATTTTTCTCCACAAAATCCTGGCAGATCTTTGATTTACCTTTATGTCTATGAACCTTATTGTTTTGTTCCTATTGTAAATAGTGTTCATTTCCCAATTCCTACCATTGCTGGTTTTCGTTGCAAAAGAAAGCTAACGGTTTTTGTGTTGGTCTTTTATCTAGCAACCTTGATGAATTCTTATTCTCATATTTTTCTATATATTTGCTTTACTTTTCTATGTAATTCTTATGGCACCTGCGGATCCTAGGAATTTTTTTCTAGCACAGTGGAAGTGCAAATGAGAGTGGGCATGTTTGTCTAATTCTTATATTTAATGTAAATACTTCTAGAGACTGCTTCTAGAAAGTGTCTCTAGAGAATGCCTTTCAAGAAGAGGGAACAGTAAAGGCCCATAGCTCTGCTTGCCAGTAAGGTACCTTGGAGTTTTTTTGGCCCTTTGATTTCATAGGTGGAGCCATTCCAGGTCATTTTGTGGATGAGGCAACACTTTGTTACTCCTTCCTCCCTGCTTACACTGACCTGTGGCACGACCCTCCCTACCAGGGTGTCAGCAGATCCCCAGACCTCAGCCCCTGCCTTTAAGGCCTGGATCCTGTTCAGATGACTTCTGAGGCCTACTTGTGTTCCTGCTCAGTTCAAATTTCCTTTTTGTTTCTGGCACCTGGGAATTTTCCTCACTTACTTTTTGAGTTTGGCTCAGTTCCCAAGAATTGTGTGGTTATTGATTTATTTAGACTTTTTTCCACTTGAATTTTTCCATGAATCTTTAACAAAGTTTAAACTATACCTTGAGTTCCTTCCCAAACAGTACAAGGACTTTCAGACACTTTCACTCACCCCTCGTTTTAAATACCTTTTATGTCCAATTCTTTTTATTTTTTAAAGGTTAACAGATTTTTTTTTTAGCTGCGTTGGGTCTTTGATGCTGTGCGTGGGGTTGTGGTGAGTGGGGGCTACTCTTCTCTGCGGTATGAGGGCCGGGCTTTTCATTGCGGTGGCTTTTATTGTTGCAGAGCGTGGGCTCAATAGTTGTGGCGCACGGGCATAGTTGCTCTGTGGCTTGTGGAATCTTCCCGGACCAGGGTTCGAACCCGTGTCCCCTGAATTGGCGGGTGGATTCTTAACCACTGAGCCACCAGGGAAGTTCCCAATTCTTTTTAAACTGATAAATTGGATGCTATTGTAATTTTATACAACAGTGTCTGTATTGACCGGCATGCTTGCTATTTTATTTGTTCACCTTTATTGCATCCCAGCTGTTTTCTGGGGGCATGTATTATCAGTGACACTGCTTAGCGCTGTCGGCTCATGGTAATAAAAAGCAGGCCACCTTTAGTAGGTTCTGTTGTTGTTTTTAAATTCTCTGCAAGTGATCACTCCCTTATGGTCTGCACCCAGGGCGGATGAATACCATTGTCCCCATTGGTATGCTGTTGAGCTGACCTATATTTTGAATCTGACAATCCAACATCTGCCATTCCAGGGGAAGGGTGCTGAAATCTTAGTTCTTATTCCTGCTGACTCTTCACTCATAGTGGCATGTTTTCTGGTCAGTTTATAAATCTCGGGTTGCAAGCTCACCGCTTGATCATCTCTGGTGGTCTTACAGGTAACCCAATTCAGACCTGCAATGGAAGCCTTCCCCAGTGTTTGCTTCTGCTGCTTCTGCTACTGGCAGCCAGGGGGTGCTCCCCCGCCCCCCACCCATAAGCCCTTTCAACCAGGAGCTGAGGCTCTATTTCCACAGTTCAGTATCCCTACAGCAGCGTTACCGCCGCAAGCATCTGGCCTCTGAGCAGCCTGCCCACTTGGTTGCCTGCCGACCAGGCCAGCTCCCCACCATTCTGGCTCCTGTAGCTGTGGCTCCACTATCTCAGCTCCCGGAACACCCAGTCAGTCATGATACAGGAAAAAGAAATTATGCAACCATTATCTTACTATATTTTATCCATAAGATGTGAGTTGGGGCAGGAGAGAGGAACTCAGTGTTCCAAGTTGACTGAGGTGTCTCCTCACACTTTGCAAATAAGGGCTCCTGACAGCTCGCATTTCTATCCAGCCCAGCTTACCCTCAGTGGGCTGGTGTGCAGGTGGAAGATCCAACCTCAGAATGTGGCTTCTCGTGGCTGATTCTCAGGTTCCCCAAGTAGCTTAGCACCTGGGGAAGAAGTCCTGAGTCCCCCGGGTGTGTAACTGGTGTCTTCATCCTGTGGGCAGGCCGTCCAGGGCACCGGCCTGGCCTTCATCGTCTACACAGAGGCCATTAAAAACATGGAGGTGTCCCAGCTGTGGTCGGTGCTCTACTTCTTCATGCTGCTGATGCTGGGCATTGGAAGCATGCTGGGGAACACGGCCGCCATCCTCACCCCTCTGACCGACAGCAAGGTCATCTCCAGCTACCTGCCCAAGGAGGCAATCTCAGGTGAGTGCGCCAGCGAAGGCGGCGGGGCTCCGGGAGGTGAGCAGAGGGAGGAGTGTCCTCAGGGGCCGCAGGCTCAGCGAGAGGCCGCAGCAGCCTCACCAGGGTCCTGCCATGGCTCTCTCCTCTCGGGCAATCTGGGACCTGGTACACATGATTCACCCCATGCATCTGGTTCTCCACATCACAGGGGAGTGAAGTGGTCACCCCAACCTTGGCAAAGGCCAAACCCCCCAACACGGCCCTCAAAGCTCTCCAGGCTAGCAGAGAACCTGCTTTTGTCTTTGTGTTGACTGAAGCATAACAACACCACGTACATTTCTCGCACCAGAGAGCCCCTCCCTGCTCCTGCCCCATCAGTACGCCCCCATCCTCTTTCCTGTCCGTGTAATAATCCAGCCTAAGACCATACACCACAATTCATCTACCCATTCTGCAGTTGGCAGACCTTTGCCTTGTGGGGGAAAGAACCTGTTTATCCAGGCCTGCCTCTCCACTTCACTCCACCACCCATCTGCTCCAGTGCAACCTGGCAGTGTCCAGAGAACCGTGACTCCTCACCCCCACATCCAGAACCCCTCGTCCCAGCCCACATCAAACCCAGCTCCCACCAGAGCCCTCTAGCGCTTAGCCTCCCTGCCCTCAGGAGCCAGCATTATGTGAGCCTCCCCTCCCGCACAGAGCCTGTTCTCCTTGTGTCCGCCTCAGGACAGCAGTGGGGCTCACTGGCTGGTGGTGTAGGCTGTGGCCATGGAAAGGGCAGGTGGGAACTTCAGAGTCTAATACTTTGTGGGGTGCCCAAGGGAGGCAGCAGAGACTGGAGCCAGAGCTTCGGTTCTGGAGACAGAAGGGCCTCTGTCTGAATTCCAACTTTCTGTGCTGTGGAATGTTGGGAAAGTTACCCGACATCTCTGAGCCTTGGCTTCCCCCTCTGTAGAAGGGGGCTCCTGATAACCTGCCCCAGAAGCTAAAGGCTCCACTGCATGGCAAGTGCCTGGGGCGCAGTAGCAGTTGGGTAAGCATTTGTTTCTTCTCTTCCCCTCCCTACTCCTCTCTTCTGGTCAGATGTGAATCCTCTCTAGGGGGTCCTGTAAGGGGTGCCCTGCAGCTCAAATCTCCTCCCCTGATTCACTTCCCATGAGCTTAGTGGCTGAGTTGCTGGGATAAACAGTCACCAGACCCATAGATTGGGTGAGATTCCCCTAGACAGCAACGCCTACAAATTTCTCTTTTCCACCGAGTTTGATTCCCCACTATTGGACGGCTCCATGAATTAACAGCAGGAAGTCCTGCTGACACTCCTCACAACACCTTTGCCCCACGCTGCCCAACACACACACGTGGCGCACACGTGCAGAGAGGCCAGTCCACCACGGCTCCCCCAGCCCATGAGGATGAACTGAACGGCCAGCGCCTCCTCAGGGTCCATGGCTCTTGGGCCCTGGAGAAAGCTGGGTGTGCAGGCCGGGGTCTCAGGTGGGTGAGCAGGCGGTCTTGTGCTCCTAGGTCTGGTGTGCCTCGTCAGCTGTGCCATCGGCTTGGTGTTCACCATGGAGGCCGGCAACTACTGGTTCGACATCTTCAATGACTACGCCGCCACGCTGCCCCTGCTGCTCATTGTCCTGGTGGAGGCGGCCACCGTGTGCTACCTGTACGGACTGAGGAGGTAGGAGGCCTGCCCCACCAGCCGCCCAGGAAACCCACCCGTGAAGGCCATGCCTCACAACACTTTCTGCCACATGTAGTTTCGAGAGTCCCAGATGTTCACTATGCACGTGGGTCTTTGTGGTCTACAGCCCAGGGTCCTGCTAGGTCAGTGGCAGCCGGGGGGGCAGGTGGTGATGGACACGCTGCAGGGTCCAGGAGAGGCAGGGGCTGTGGTTCCCGCTGTGACAGTCTCACCCGGCCCCCTCTCCTCCCCCATGGCTGCCTCTTCTGCCGTGGGGAGCAGTTTCAAAGGCCCTGGACTGGAGGTAAGACACCAGTCCGGATGCTGGGCCTGGGTCGGCCACTACCTGGGTGCCCTCAGGCAAGTCACATCACAGCCCTGGACCTCGGTCCCCTCCCTTGGGAAACGGGGAGGTGGCTGGGTCAGCATTTCTCAAAGTGCTGAGATACTTTCCATCCTCATTTGTGTGTGGGGTGGGGGGGGCAGAAAAATATGATTAGCCTATCCAATCCATGGTAAAACGGATATATTGGCATGCTATTGCTAAATTCAGGTAAAAGTCAATTATAAAAAAAAGCCCACAGACGATGGGAATCCCAATGGTGGGCTGCAGGCAGCTACACTTGGGAAGCACCACTCCATGCCAGCTCCAATGGGTCAGGGCCAAGGTGCTTCTGCTTCCTTCAGGTTTTCCCTCTGCCCCAGAAAACCTGCTCTGGTTTCAGGGGACAAAAGCGCTTCCCCTGTGGGGGCATTTCTAGGGGGAAGGAGAGTTGCTGACTGCAGGGTGGGAGGGGTGGAGCGGGGCTGCCCTCGGGGTCCCCTGGTGTTGAGGACTGGCTTCACAGGCATCCTGCCAGGCCCTCTGGTGTACAGCAGCAGCCTCCAGCTGAAGGCCGGCACCAGGAGGATGGCCTCTGATGTCCACTCACCTATGGGTGGTTGCTTTGCCCCCTCTGTGGCGGCCTCAGCCCTTCTTCCCTCCCTGCCCCCAAGACCCCCAGAAGGAATCAGAGACTGCCCAGTGGTCGTGTTCAGACATCACTGGCGCCCAGCACAGAAGCTTCCTGAGCAGATGAGGAGGTGTGGCCTGGACTGCCTGGCGCCAACAGCACGGATAATCCAAGCTTTCTCTCCCCACCTCCGAACAGATTCGAGAGCGACCTTAAGGCTACGACTGGACGCGCTCTGAACTGGTACTGGAAGGCCATGTGGGGCGGTGTGAGCCCGCTGCTCATCATCAGCCTCTCTGTCTTCTACCTGAGCGACTACATCACCACCGGGACGCTGCAGTACCAGGCCTGGGACGCCTCCCAGGTATGGAAAACGTCACCCAGCCCAGGAGCTGGGCTGTGTTTTCAACATGGGCTGCAGGGAAGAGAGTGAGATTCCATCCAGAACTTCCTGGTGGCCTCTGTCCACTGAGGCCACTCAGGCAAGGCCAAGCAAGGCTGGAGGGCATGGCCCCTGAGGAGCTGGGTGGGGCAGGGACTGGCGTTTACACTGGAGTTGCTAGGACAGAACCGGGGACTGAGAGGGGCACTCAGGAGGCTGGGCTGCATCTGTTCACCCAGCAGAGGGCAGCACATCAGTGTTTTAACAACCCGGACAGCCCTATCACGGCACCAGGCCTGAGGGTCAGCCTTGGCTGTCCTTGCACAGACACACTCTCATAAAAAAGATTTACTTTTTAAGGAAAGTAATACAACTGACCAATTTGGATGTCTTTCCCTGTGGATAGAAGATGCTGCCTCTTAGCATATGGTGTGTGTGCAGACAGGGTGCACAGGGCCCGTGCTCCAGTCCACACACTCCACGCTGCACCATGGCTGGGAAGGCGCCACTGCGTCTGGTTCTGGTAGTGGTGCCGAGCAGGGCGTGCAGCCTGATACTTTTGGAAAATGCAATTAACAGTGAATTCCTTTAAAAAAAAAAAAAAAAAAAAGGTAGAGCAAATACAAGCACCAAATATGTATCAGATTCAGCAGACACAGGATTATATGCTGTCAAACTGCTAAAATCATTTATGTTTCCTCCCAATTCCTGTACTCGTCACACAGAACACAATGAGTAACAGATGAGCAACAGAAGTCTGTGGGTTGGTTCCCGCGGCCACACTCCGGGTGGCATTTTGGTTTACAAACCATACGTGCTTTGGTTGACAGCAAGTACCTGCTCCCCGGATTTAGCTGTCCTCTGGTTCCTTTGTGGAAAGGTAGTGTAGCATTTAGTGGCTTTTGGGCCTCAACTGGTTTCTCATCAGTTTTGCATTTACGGAAACATCCATCATTCTTCCAACTAAGTCCTGAGGTCCATCAACACTTCACTTCTCCTGAGATGAGAGCTGTGCTGCTGGACACAGAAGCTAATAACCACATGTGGCTATTGAAATTTAAACAAATTTAAAATTCACTTCTTGAGCATCACCAGCCACATTCCCAGTGCTCAATGGCCACCTATGCCTGATGGCTGCTGTACTGGACAGGTAGCCCCTACATTTAGGTCCCCTGCTGCTGCCTTGAACATAAGCCTTGGATTATTCTCATGGTTGCTCTTTCCAGGTAGCTCCAAACAGTATGCACAAGGGGAGTTAGTCTGCCCAGCAGAGCCACTAGTGACCTGCACGCAGAGCTGGGGTGGCCCCGGGTGTAAGGATGCCCGGCCGCAGATGCTCTCTTCCTCCCGCTGGAGGGCCTGAGGCCCGGCGGGGTGGTGCCCTCAGAAGGCTCCGCACGGGAGGTTCTTTCTTCTGACACTCAGGTTCCTTCTTCAGGGCCAGCTTGTGACCAAGGACTACCCCCCGTATGCACTGGCCATCATTGGGCTGCTCGTGGCCTCCTCTACCATGTGCATCCCCCTGGGGGCCCTGGGGACTTTCATCGTGCGCCACCTCAAGCGGGGAGACACAGCCTCCGTGGCCTGAGAGCTGGGCTTCCCCGAGACTGCCGTCAGCCGCTCACTATCTTACAACCACTTACGTACAGATGGAGCCGCCTCGGCTGCTTTTGGAAGTGTTGACTCCGGAAGCACTCAGCCCATCGTCTTCTCGAGTCTAGAAAGGATTAGGAAGGTGAAAAGAAAGACTACTCCCTCAGCAGGACACACACCCCACCCGCCACCCCCAGAGTCACACACGGTGCTTCCTCCCTGTCAGTCACCACGGAGGCAGAATTCTCACAGCCAGTCTTGAAGACAACTGCTCGACTCTAGCAAAGTCCTAGAAGTAGGGCACACCGGGAGCTGAAATTTGACTACAGTTTTTATGGGATAAAATTTAAGGAATGTTTTCTGTTGAGATCCGGGCATTCATTTTTAGAGAATTTTGAAAAGGAGTTTTTTAAATGTCATCAACGCAAAATTAATTAGTTCTTTTTTCAGTCACGGTGAACCTGCAGTCACTGTGCTCTCCTTCGCTAATAGGATTGACTGGCCATAAAGAAAGGCCTTTGTTTGGAGCTCACAAAAGGAGTCACTTTTCCCTAATCTGAGGCCTCTCAGTGGGTCCAAGACCAGTCCTCTCTACAAACAACCCCAAACCACCTTCGGCCCTGGTGTCTCACGACACTGAAAAGCTGCCAGAGCCTCTATGAGGATGAAAGTGAAGCTAACTTTCCCATAGACCTAAGGTTATATTTGGACCTGATGACCAACTCTTTATAGGAAAGACCATAACCTAGTTTTAAATTATTTATCTGTACATAAGTTTTCTAAAATGTATAGAAAGACGGCTCTCAAACAGAACACCCAGTAAGTGAAGACACCATATTTATGATACAGCATTAGTCCACCTTGTGAACGTGTCCTGTCGTTTAACTGCAATAAGTAGGTCAGGGTTATCTCGGAAGTGAGGAGGTCCCTTACTGCTCTAACACTCAATTCCATGCTCTCAGTGAAGCACACAAAGTTTCTTTGAGTAGATTTGTACAGACATCTTTAAAGACACTTACACATTCACCTGGGACATCAGCTAGAGATGGCTTTTCTTTTTCATGCCATAAACTTCCCTATAACAAGAAATAGGCATTAGAAAGGTCTTAGGCAGTCTTGAACTTCCAGCTTCACCTGATGCCCATAAAAAGACCACTTGGTGGTGTTAGGCAAGCTGGAGAGCCGCATGTAAGTCAATGAAGTTAGAACACACCCTCACCCCATATACAAAAATAAACTCAAAATGGCTTAAAGACTTAAATATAAGACTCCTAGAAGAGAACATAGGTAAAGCATTCTCTGACATAAATCGTGCCAATGTTTTCTTAGGTCACTTCCATGCTCTCAGTGAAGCACACAAAGTTTCTTTGAGTAGATTTGTACAGACATCTTTAAAGACACTTACACATTCACCTGGGACATCAGCTAGAGATGGCTTTTCTTTTTCATGCCATAAACTTCCCTATAACAAGAAATAGGCATTAGAAAGGTCTTAGGCAGTCTTGAACTTCCAGCTTCACCTGATGCCCATAAAAAGACCACTTGGTGGTGTTAGGCAAGCTGGAGAGCCGCATGTAAGTCAATGAAGTTAGAACACACCCTCACCCCATATACAAAAATAAACTCAAAATGGCTTAAAGACTTAAATATAAGACTCCTAGAAGAGAACATAGGTAAAGCATTCTCTGACATAAATCGTGCCAATGTTTTCTTAGGTCACTCTCCCGAGAGAACAGAGATAAAAGCAAAAATACACAAATGGGACCTAAACAAACTTAAGCTGTTACACAGCAAAAGAAACCATAAACACAACAAAAAGACAACCTATGGACTGGAAGAAAATATTTGCAAATGATGTTACCAACAAGGGCTTAATTTCCAAAATATACAAACAGCTCATACAAGTCAACAACAAAAAATAACCCAATCCAAAAATGGGCAGAAGGCCTAAATAGACATTTCTGCAAAGACAACATACAGATGGCCAACATGCACATGAAAAGATGCTCAACATCACTAATAGAGAAATGCAAATCAAAACTACAAATCAAAATGTCACACACCAGTCAGAATGACCATCATGACCATCATTAAAAAGTCTACAAATAGGGCTTCCCTGGTGGCGCAGTGGTTAAGAATCCACCTGCCAATGCAGGGGACATGGGTTCGAGCCCTGGTCCGGGAAGATCCCACATGCTGCAGAGCAACTAAGCCTGTGTGCCACAACTACTGAGCCTGCACTCTAAAGCCCGTGAGCCACAACTACTGAAGCCCGCGTGCCTAGAGCCTGTGTTCCGCAACGAGAGAAGCCACTGCAATGAGAAGTCCGCACACCGCAACAAAGAGTAGCCCCTGCTAAATAAATAAATAAAAATTTTTTAAAAAAATGTCTACAAATAACAAATGCTGGAGAAGGTGTGGAGAAAGCAGAACCATCCTACACTGTTGGTGGGAATGTAGACTGGTGCAGCTACTATGGAGAACAGTATGGAGGTTCCTCAAAAAACTAAAAATAGAGTTGCCGTATGATCCAGCAATCCCACTCCTGGGCATGTATCCAGACAAAACTATAATTCAGAAAGATACAGGCACCCCTGTGTTTACAGCAGCACTATTTACAATAGCCAAGACATGGAAACAATCTAAATGTCCATCAACAGATGAATGGATAAAGATGTGGTACATATATACAATGGAATATTACTGAGCCATAAAAAAGAACGAAATCATGCCATTTGCAGCAAAATGGATGGACCTAGAGATGATCATACTAAGTACGTCAGAAAGAGAAAGACAAATATACCATATGATATCACTTATATGTGGAATCTAAAATATGATACAAATGAACTTATCTATGAAACAGAAACAGACTCAGAACAGACGTGTGGTTTGCCAAGGAGGAGGGGGCGTGGGGGAAGGATGGATTGGGAGGCTGGGATCAGCAGATGTCAACTATTCTTTATAGAATGGGTAAACAACAAGGTCCTACTCTAGCACAGGGAACTATATCCAGTATTCTGTGATAAACCATAATGGAAAAGAAACAAAAAATCACTTGGCTTTAAAATGCATGAACCAGCATTTACTTACCACAACTAGTCAGTCCTCCGATTTCTTATCAGAGGTTCTTCGGTGTCACGAAACCTCAGCTATCAAGGCTTGGAGAGTGAGCACACTCAACAGCAAATACACAGCACAGAGTCTGTTCCTGAATCCTTAGGGGTCACAGTCTCCGAGCCCCCAGCCCTGGTCACTGTCTTACAACAGGGGCCGCCCCTCGGGGGTTGGTCATCACCTGGGTATTTCAGCCCTGAATGCTAGGTATCCTCAGGAGCATAGACACAAATGTTGTTCTAGAGCAGCTCTTCATTCACAGTTGCTGTACTTCAGTGGTCCTCCACCTCAGTGTCCATTCAAACCACCCGGGAGCATTTAAAACTCCTGGTGTCCAGGCCACGCCCTGGAACCTGCCAAATCTGAGAACCAGGGCCCTATTTAAGAGAGAAGGAAAATGTGTCATACATTTAGGCACACTTACATCGAAAGTGACCTTTAAAATTTTGAAAGCACTTTTGAGCATTTCTAATTGTATGGAAAAGTTACTTCTCCAGAATAATATTTGCTCACAGAAGTCAAACAGATGAAGTCCCATTATTATAGACTAATGTGCTCCAGATGAAAATGTCTCCTGCTTGGGTTCAGTTTTATTCTGCTTTCTGAGAACTGCACGAAGAGCAGAACATTTCATAGTAATCCTCAGTCCTGTTTCAAAAAATTCTTTGAATTCTTTGACTATTTTCTAGGGACTGCACAAAAGCAGTCATCTTAACATTTGTCCACCCTCTTCCAATAAGCTGGAGAGAAAAAGGCACGTTTCATCCCTGTGCCCTTAGCAGTACAATGACATTAGAGCCAGACACGGACTCCAGAAAGCTTTCTGATTATACTAAAAACACACCTACTCTTAGTTCTAAAGAATCAGGTAGGGAAATATTTGGGTTTTTTTTTTAGCAATTGTCATAAATAAAACCCTAAACAAATATATCTCTAGGTCTTTTTGGTCACTTATGAGATGTAGTTTTGTTTTGAGACCTCTCAACACAAGATTTTCCCTCCTTATGTAAACATACTAGCTAATTTAAAAAAAAAAAAAAAGGAAAATAAAGGAGAATCCATCTGGTCTCTTTTCTACTGCCTTCTCTGTTTGCTTCCTCACACGCAGTGAAACCGCACCAATGCAGTGTATGAAGGCCATCACATGAGAAGAGGATCACATGATAACAGGAAGGGTAGCATCCAAAAGAGAAATTAGGGGAAAAAATTCTAATTTGCTGGATTTAAACAGAATGTGAGCTCTTCCGAATTGCTGCAGAATCTTTCCAACCCTTTTGAGAGGTGCCCTGGGCAGTCTGCCCACCTCAGAATCCCTTGTTGGCTGAGGCCATAAGAACCCACACAATAGGTTTGGGTGTGACCTCAGAACTGTCCTGGGGCGGAAAGAGCGTGTAAACTATTGTGTTAGATCTCTGTAAAAGTTATTTTACATAGAAAAATTAATTTATGGCTGTTCCACTTTATAGACAGAAAAGCTGGGGAAGAGAATGAATTCACCCAACCATTTTCTACTCAGCATCCAGTCAGGAAGAAAAAAAAATGAGCGATTTAAACAATCCTTTGCAAGGCAAAAAGTACGTCTACAAATATGAAATTCTCAACCAGAATTTTCTGACCAGTCTCTTACATGTGACTCATGTGTCCTTTCGTATTGCCCACCTGCATAGGATCAGCCTTTACGGAGTATATTACATAATCCAGTCCCTGTGTAGGCTCTGGGGAAAGTTCTGGTCTCTGGACTTCATGGCTCTTAAATTCTGGAAGGGAAAAAGACAATGATAGATAACAAATGATATAATTACAGACTGTGACCTTTTCTAAGAAGGAAATAAATGGGCCAAGTGATGGTGTGAGAGGGACAGTGCTTCAATCAGGTGGTCAAGGAGGAGATACGTGGACTGAATTTTGAAGAAGAATGAACTAGTTATTGAAATTGCTAGAAGGTCTGTCCAGGCAGAGGCAATGGCAGTGCAAAGGCCCGCAGGGGAGAAAGAGCAGAAAGGAGGCCTGTGGTTGGACTGGGGACGGGAGCGATGGGAGATGAGCTTGGAGAAGTGGGCAGAGACCAGGTCATATAAGGCCTGATAGGCCACAACAGAGCTCCGGATTCCTTCAAAGAGCAACAGAATCTCACCTGAGGGTTTAACGTGGGGCCCTGCGTCATCTAGTTTACACTTGAAAGATCACTTGTAGCTGTGGAGAACAGACTGGAGAAGGTTGTAGATGGGGACCTTGGAAAATTATTCCAGGAGCTACTTTAGGAAGTCCATGGGAAAGATGATGGTGGCATAGACTTGGAAATGAATATGGAGAGGAACAGGTGGGTCTGAGTTATATTTTGGCAGGGGAGAGTTGCCAAGACTTGCTTATGGACTGGATGCATAGTTGAGAGGAGAGGGATGAAATGTTTGACTTACTGGGTGGATGCTGGTGGCATTTCCTGAGATGGAGAAAACTCGGCATGGAACCAGTCTGCAGAGTATAAATCAAGAGCTCTGGGGGGATAAAAAAAGAGCTCTGCTTGACCATACTGAGTTTGAGATGCCTGTGAATCAGGTGGGAATATCAGGTAGGCAACAGAACATTAGAATCTGAACCTTTTGGAAAGGTCCGATCTAGATGTATATATATTTGGGAGTCACAGCATCAAGATGCTATTTTAAAACCATGGGTCTAAATGACATCACCTGGGGTAAGTGTGTACATGGAGAGGAGGGCTTAGGACCAAAGCCTACCAAAAAATCCAACATGTGTCCAGACAGGGCCACAGGTTCTTTTCCATCTTTCTCATTGAGAGAGGGGGTCTGTGTCCCTCCCCCTGAATCTGAGTGGGTTTGTGAGTGCTCCAACCAATAGAATATGGCGGAAGGGACACCACTGGATGTTAGAGGCTAGATCATACCATGCAAGCTTCCACCTGGTTTGCTGGAACTCTCACTCCGGCCGCCGTGAGCCAACCAGGTATGAAGTCCTACGACCTTGAGGCTGCCGTGCTGCAAAGCCACATGGAGGTGCTCCAGCTCACAGAACCAGCTGGTCCACCTTCCAGCCACCCTTGTGCAGCACCAAACCAGCGCAGACCAGAGACCAGCCCCTCTGTCAGCTGAGTATCACTGAGTGACCTCTGTCAGTGCCATCTGGAACAGAAGAGATCACCCAGCTGTGCCAGGCTCCATTCCTAACTCGCAACACTGTGAGATTACTTTCCAGAAATAGATAACTAGAACAGGGGTAAAGCAGAGAGGAGACATCAGTAGGCAATGGAGTTGTGAATAAAGCTGGACAGAACCCAGGAGAATGTGTGCTCCCAAAAGGTCAGGAGAAGGACATCTTAAATTCTCCAAACATGACTTACAACCTGTACTTTCTACTTCTCCTAACCTCAGAGTCTATGTTTAAACCGAAATCTAATAGGAGCTCAATTTAGGACATAAAATATAACATGATATTTTAATAGATGCGACTTTAGCTTCCTACAGCTAGAAAAATAAACAGGCAACAGGCACGCATCACTGAAAATGGTGAAGAAAGACGAATGTCTGGGCCTTTGGCTAAAACAAACAAAAAGCAAAGACAAAGTTATGCTCAGAATAATCTGTAAAGGGAAGTGCTAAGAACAAACAGGCCATCTGACCAGTTCACGCAGGACCAGGGCATTCGTGGTAATAATTAAACATGTCACAACTCCTTTTAATTGTCTCTCCCCCTCCACCCCCGCAGTGAAATCCCATTTATGGAGCCTCTGCGTGATGTCCAACACAGAGGATGAGAGCTGGACATCAAGGAAGAGCTCCCGCCTGTAGATTTACCTGGGTTTCTCAGCAGGGGTGTGTCCGTGTGCATGTGCTATCCTAGGGAACTGCCATATGGATGAGAATCCAAGAATTTATAGTTAAGAGACCAAGTTCAACACACAAGTGAGGTCCAAATATAAATTAGAGCCCATGTTTTCTTTAACTCCACGGCCAGAGTGCTCGCCCTCATAAGGCTCACGAGCCTTACTCAAAATCAGTTTCACAGAATCGTCCTATTGAGATGCTCTGTAAATAAAAAATTCCACAGACCAAAAAGTCTGGGTGCTGCTGCGTCGCACACCCCCTCTAGGGGAGTCAAACCTCTGACAAGTCCGAGAATTGAGACAAGTCTTTGACTATGTTTAACCCAATGTTTCCAAATGGTTCTCACCACAGATCCCTACTGTCAAAAAACAGCTCTGAGCACACAGGACTCGTGTTATTCCAAACACTCAGGACAATGCTTTGCCGAACAGACTGAGAAGCTGGGGGCCCAGAGCTCAGGGAAGAGCCAGGCCATCCTGCAAGACACGGCTGCGTGAGGAAGAGTTCTCAGCAGTGAAAACACCCAGGCCAACAGGACAGAACAGAAAGCCGAAACCCCACAAGTGGAGGGGAGCCTGATGTGTGATGGTGGCAGCACCGCACAGCAGGACGGAGGGAGTCGGGAAGGCTCTCTGCTGACTCTTCCCGTTAACCCAGTGGGAAAAGAAAACTGGAGCCTGTGTCGGATGACAGCACACAGTCCCTCCCCAGGGGCTACACTCTCCTCCCTCCATCACTTCAAGTATGGCCATGCGACTTGCTTTGACCAATGAAATGTGAACAGAAGAGATTGTCACCTTCAACAGAAACTTCTCCCTTTTCTTTCTGCCAGGACAACTGGTAATGTTCCTGTGTGAAGCTGTTCCGTCACTCTGGGTCCCAGGATGCAGACATCATGTAGCAGAGCTGCAGCAGACCCTTCAAGGATACATAGAATGAGTGAGAAATAAGTCTTCATTTTTTTAAAGCCACTGAGATTTGGGGATCATTTGTTACTGCAGCATAATCTGATCTACCTGGATTGACACAGACCATTTCCTTACTTTATAGAATGGGAAAAGACCTGATGTGAAAAAGCAAAATTATGTGAAAAGAAGTCCCTTGGGGTTGAGCAATGTTGTCTTACCCAAGCACAAGGGATGGTAGGAAATTTCTGGTAAATTCAACACCATTGAAATTATACACTTCTTTCACCAAAAGTAACCACAAGAAAATGAAAAGACAAGCCACAAACTAGAAGAAGATATATGTAGTACATATATAAGCAACAAAGAATTACTCTCCAGAATATATAAAGAATTTCAGAAATCTTTAAGGACAAACAATCTAACAGAAACAGGCAAAAGACCTCAAAGGCACAGCACAGGAAACACCCGATTCCCTCCAGCACCAGCTCTGAATCATGACTTTGGATTTTTCTCTCCTTACAGGCTGTGGGAACAGACTTCCAGAGAGCCCCACCTCCCGGTATTCATGCCCTATGTAATCCCCTCCCCGAGTGAGCTGATCTAGTGGCTTGTTTCTAATGCATAGAATATGGCACAAGTGATGGGATGACACTTCTGAGATTAGGTTAAAAAAGACTGTGACTTCCATCTTGCTGGCTTTGGTGAACCAAGCTGCCAAGGTGGAGAGGTCCATGTGCCAAAGAACATAATATTTTAAAGACTTACTTATTGTAATTTATCTGTAGTAGGAAAACTTCTGACATCAGGACTCATAGGCAAGCAGAAGGAAAAACCCCCAAACCCTTAAGCCACTTCCCCCCAAAACACCCTTCACACACCACATACACACGTGCAAGGGTCTCCTAGGCACCGAGGTGTCTACATCAGCATTTCCCTCGGGCTCCCTGACATCCTCCTGTGGCCTGAGAGGACGTTTTCTAATAAGCATATTGTCCCACTTCTTGGTTGAGAGCCTCTATCATTTTGAAAAAGAAATTACAATTTGGAGGTGGGAATACAGGGGACATCTTTTAATGAACACTATACTAAATATTCCCCTGGAATATCTGTAACTGAAAAATAATTATAAGGATAAACACAATTTTTAAAGTGGCCATAATTGGAAAGTAGAATTTCAGAAGCTACTCATTTTCTTGCTTACTTACATTGTCTAATTCTTCTATAATGACCACACATTGCTTTGCATGTTTTTTATAAAAAGGAACATCCCTTTGTAAAACAAGGTATAGGAATGACACCAACATTAGTTAGAAAAGAGTATGACATTTTATTTTCACTTACGGATGGACAGTACATGAATTTAGAAATTTAATCATTGCAGGGTTCTGAAATATTGATACCTTAAGATGTAACACACCAACATTAGCCCATTCACTGCAAAACAGCCACATCAGCAGTTCAGATTTGGTCTTTGTTGTGGTCGCTGAAATAAGTTCTTAATGTGAAATGCCCAGTAGCATCTGAGTAATACATTACAGTAGACATGAACTAAGTTTCGATATTTCCTCTTTGGAATGAATTATGCTTATTTACAAGAGTAGGTAGTTCTAATTACTTACCCTATTGTGAGTTTTAATGACTGACTTTAAGCTACAGAGGGTTTTCCGGCTATTATTTCCTTTAAAGTTTCTAAAAGCAACAACTCTTATTAATGTTTATAAAAGATAATGTTGGAAAAAAGGTAATGTTAAAATCAAGGCGCTCTTTAGAGATATTTAAGGACAGGAAAAGGTATTACCATTGAAAAAACTGTACATATTTTCAAGCACAACACAAATATTGTAGCAGTATTTAATTGAACTATTTTAAAATAGTGGCAATTATACTTCCTTACATACTTTTCTAATTTTTAAACCTCATAATTACAATTTGAATACAATTTGAAGTCTGACTTGTAATTAGAACTATGCACAGCTTCTAGAGTGTATTTTTTCAGATTTATTTCTTCACATAAATTAAAGTTTAAGTTGGTCCTTGATTTGGAGAGCTGTAACTACCTGGAAGCACTAAATTTTAGACTTACTGACAGCTAACAAAAACCCTTCAATAGGGAAAAGCATCAACACTGCCGTGCGTGGAAAAGCAGCTGCTGCCTCCAAGTGCAACATCGGATTCAGCACAAGAGCCGCTCAGAGGCCATGTCTCCATGAAAGACCCCCAAGAAACCGAAAGGTCCAGAATGAAGGAGCTGACCAACCAAGGGCATTTTCCACACTGGGGCAATCCTGAAAACAGAGGAGGCTTTGGACCGCTAGCATAAGAGAGAGACTTCACATTCTTTGATTTCATTTACACCTTTTAAAAAAGATAAAATACACCTGAACCTTTTTCATCACACTTAAACTGCACAGCTAAAGCTGACTGAACTCATAAGGCAGCCCAACTGAAGCTCCAAAGGAACACCGGACCCTGGTCTCCTCCTTCCTACCATGTAGTCACAGACTATTTCGTCCAACTACTTGATGTATGGAAAAGACATTTTATAAACAGAGTAGAGTTAGCTTATTATTAAACTAAAGAAAAGTCCAAAGATGTAGGGAAAAGTATGCTTGCTAACAGAAACTGCTTCTACAGTGACAATAAACTGAGCTAGAAAAATAATTTCACTGTTTTAAATAAGGAAAGAGGCTCGATTTTTAAATATGTTACTTGTTCTGCATCAGCTGATTAAACTGACCATGAATAGATTCCTTCCGTCCCGTGAGCTGAATTGAGGTTACATTTTAATTATAGAATAGCTTCAAATGATAACCATCCCAATAGTAAAGAGATCATCAAGGCAGTAACATCAGATCAATTCTACGTCATCACCCCCACACAAAGCGCAAGATGTGCTTTTGGATAAAGGATTTAAAAAGACCTTGGGCTGACGTGGAAAGCGGGTCAGTAAAGACTCCAGTTCTGCATAATGGAATCTTCCAAGCCAAGCCGCTTTCCACAGACACAAATTCAGTCTATCTTTTCTTTCTGGACCAATCTGGGAGCATCAACAAAATCTTTGCCATTGTAAAGAATAATAAAAAATGTTCCAATGCTTGCAACTCCCCAGAAGAGCACATATGCCAGTGTTTCTGTCCAGGTGTCACCTGTTGATTTTAAAAACAAAGAGCTGATAAATAACAAGTCATTTTATTGATACTAGATCCAGCTTTCAGCCGTTTAGCACATCTTGACAACATTAAAGTTTACAAACACATCCAAAGGAAAAATATAAGAACCTCTCAATTAAGGTTTAAACCAGTGGTTCTCAAACTCTGGCTGGCAACAGAATCCGCTTCAGGGCTTGATAAAGAACCAGCTGCTGGGCTGAACCCCAGCGTGTCTGTCCCATTTAGCAGGCCTGGGGTGGCATCCAAGAATCTGCATTTCTAACAAGTTCCCAGATTATGCTGATGCTATGGGTCGAGAGACCACATTTTGAGAACCGCTTGACTAAACTAATTTCAGGTTATATAAAGCAAATAGTAATTATTAGTTTTAGATTATATACTTTAATATTATAAGAAATTATTACTAATAGTTTAGTTCATAGTCCTATCTATGACAGGTATCAGCTACTACCAAAATGCCAACACAAAAAATACTGGGTTGGCCAAAAAGTTCATTCGGGTTTTTCTGTTATGGAAAATAACTTTACAAATATACGTGCTTCAGAAAAGTTATGTATTAAAGTGTATAGGGGCTTCCCTCGTGGTGCAGTGGTTGAGAGTCCGCCTGCCGATGCAGGGGACACGGGTTCATGCCCCAGTCCGGGAAGATCCCACATGCCGCACAGCGGCTGGGCCCGTGAGCCATGGCCGCTGAGCCTGCACGTCCGGAGCCTGTGCTCCGCAACGGGAGAGGCCACAACAGTGACAGGCCCGCGTACCGCAAAAAAAAAACAAAAAAAAAAATAAAGTGTATAAAACAAAACTCAATAAATACAACATATTTAACACAACTCTCCTGATATGCACTTTTTTCAAAGTCTAGAGTACATGAAGGAAGCAGCAGGCCAATGGGAAAAGGTCTATTTTGTTCAACTCCTTGAACAGGTGAACCCAGTGTTGCTTCTCTCCTGCAATAGTACTGGCCTCACCTGCTGACAGGGAAACATGCAGAGGTCAACAGCCAGTTAAGAGGGCACGCCAGAAAGGAAATCAGGGTGTAGACACTTTCCTAATAAGCTGTCAGAGAACATGCTTGCATTTATTTGCTATTCTCTTAAATACCAAAGTAGGGGCTAGAAATCAGACACTGTCATATCTAAACACCACAAAGATCATTACTTTACAACAATTAACTGACATGAGATGTTACTAACCACAGCATCCAGTATCTTTGCACTTGAAAACATTCAAATTTCCACAACTGCTAATTTTGACAGCTCTGGGTTTTAAAACTCTTTTTGGATAAAGAAAAAAGCAGTTCCTCACAAGCCCACTCTGGGACACTCCCCAAAGGAATGGTCCATTTGTTTAGGCTGAGTCTTGGTCTTGATTTCCCTGCCTTTCCAGAGGTTCCACAGGGAAATGTAAGTATATAAAAAGACCAAAATAACAAAACTAATTCAGCAGTGGAGTGGTTCCCAGAAAATGGCATCCAATGGGCAATGTTTTAAAGTGAGACGTCTAAGGATCTAGGGTGTGAACTGAACTGTGAGCAGCACATGCCAGCTGGTCCTGTCCTCTTCCTTCCTGCCCCAAATGTGACACAAACCCCCTAGTCATGCCGCACAGTGATGCTGCACTCGAGAGTCCTCGGCTTGTTTTTGCACTGTGATGGCTTTTACATTTTTAAAGAACTGTAAAAACAAACTCTGCAAACAGAGACCGTATATAGTTTACAAAATCTAAAATATTTATTATCTGACTCCTCAGAAAACGTCTGCTAACCCCTGCCCTAGAGTAACAAGAAGACAGCTCCTCCCTGTGTCATGACTACCTACACTGCTGAACACTGAGGGGATTATAGAGATGAACAGGTTCTGAGCCTCCCCTCAAGAAGCTGGCAGAATTACTGTGGGGTGTGGGGGGTGAGGAGTCCTTAATTCAGCAAAGTTTTACTGAGGGCAAAACTGTATCCCAGACACAGGAGGTAAAACAATGAGTAAGACACCATCTCTGCCTTCAAAAAGTTGCTGATTCAGTGAGAAAGACGAATGAGTATGCAAATCACTACCACACAAACAGAAATACACCTTGGGTGCATTCAGGACCCAAAGAGTACAGCGCCTCTGAAGAAGAAATCCCTAGGTGCTTACAAGGTTAAAAGAAGAAAGTGCTATAAGAGAGGTACACAAAATGCTGTGGAAATCAGAAAGGGGGAGATGAGGTCTGTGTGGGAGAACAGAGAGACACTTCATGAGAGGAGAGCCTGAGGATGGCAGAAGTCAGCCAGGCAGAGAAATGTCAGCCCAGCGAATTCAGGATAGAGGATGTGACTGGAGGTGCCTAAGGCTGCACCTCGAGGCACAATGCAACGTGTTACAGACTCAAACTCCCAGAGCACTGAACACTGCTTAACATGCATTTAAGATGAAAATGTCTCCATTAACTTAGTAACACAGAAAAACATTGAGAGAGAAAAGAAAACCAATAAAGACCTTGTTAGCTCGGGTTCTTAGGCAATTTCACTATTAAAATTTAAGAAGTAGGGCTTCCCTGGTGGCGCAGTGGTTGAGAGTCCGCCTGCCGATGCAGGGGACACGGGTTCGTGCCCCGGTCCGGGAAGATCCCACATGCCGCAGAGCGGCTGGGCCCGTGAGCCATGGCCGGAGCCTGTGCTCCGCAACGGGAGAGGCCACAACAGTGAGAGGCCCGCGTACCGCAAAAAAAAATAAAATTTAAGAAGTAATGTATTCATCTATAATAACATTTATTTGTCCAACATAGGTGGTTGGTTAAATAAATTATACATCCATTAATGGAATACTGTGCAGCCATTAAAAATAAAGAACGTGGGGAAATATTTATATTGCTCAGTGAAAAAACAGATTACAAAAAAATTTGTATCTCACTTTTGAAAACAAGAATACACACTTATAAAGATTAAAACATCAAAATGTTAAGAGTAATTAGCTTATCTCTGAAAGGCAAGGGGATAAATAACATTATCTTCTTTTTTGCCCAACTGTATTTTCTGTAATTACTATGTATTACTTTGATAGCAAGAAAAAAATATTTTAAAAAGCTTAAGTGGAAAAAAAAAAGTATCAAGCTACTGAGTATACATTTTTCCTTCTGTCACATCTAAGGACTAATCCTCCCACCTGCCCACTTTACTCATTCAATTCAATAGGGAAACATCAAGTACTGAATAGGTGCAAACTTAAAGACGCTGTACAGGAAAGTTCAACATTCTAAGAAATGACTGTAAGAATGTGAAACAAGGGCAGACTTACCAGCCATAAGCAAACAGATAATGCACATGGAAAAGGCGACAACCATGATAATAGGCAACTGGAAAAGAAAACGGAAAGAGAAACCATCACATAAGATGCTAATCAATGGTTGTACAATCAGTTATGCATGCTTTGCTTTAAAGAGAATAAAACCCTTCTGCAATCTAATATACAAAGTATCTTTCTTTCAGCAAAACATCATTATTTAGAGTTTTGATCATAACTGCCCAAATCTTCGAACAGGTTAAAAGATCTGAAAAAGCATGGCTTTGCTCCAAACCAGGGAGTGCTAAGCAGAGGGAAGTCGCCCAGATGAGAACCCAGACACCAGGCCCCTCCACTCCAGGACACCCTGCCCACTGGAATGAGACCCCAGAGAGGCTCTTTAAAAGTCTTGTGAACAGAGGAGTCAACTTCCAGGTCACAAGTTTGCCTCCGGCAATCCCTGAACCTCAGGGGAGTAGTCTCCAAAAATGAGAAGCCCTCACACTCCCCTTGCGTCTGTGTTCTCACTTAAAAAGGATCTGCCAAAGACAGTCAAGTTTGAAAGAAGACAAACATTCCAAAGTTATTTTACTCCTCTCCCTGATCTGCTCCTTGGGGACACTTAAATATTTATGTTCCATTTAGAACAACATACAATGTTTTATATCAAGGGGAGTTGGCACCATCTATAACTTCAGACACAATGCTTTTAACAACTTGAAAAACATAAACGTTTCTTACAGCCAGGAATTTCAAATCCCTTGGAACACTTAAAGGACTATGAGATTCTAATTCATCCACTGAATAGTTCCCAAGAAATAAGTCTATGGAATCCTAGAAGAGAAAAAAAGGAAATTAGTTACTCCCAAATTAGATATGATTATATTACTGAAGAACAGTACAAAGATACAGCCACCTAATGACCAAAAAAATTAGCATCAAATAACAAACTTACTTGTCTAAATCCATCAGAAAAGTTGTTCTTGTAATACCGTATCAGTGAGTTCCAGCCATCCATTATAAGTCCCAACTGAGTTCTCTTCCCAGTTCTGGTTAAATATGAGGTTAAGTTTTGAGTTACAGATTTGCATTAATATGCATTAATGCAATTATGCATTAATATGCAAAAATATAAAATTCTCACACTGTTTTACAGCCAATAAGTATGTGGTATGGAGATAGGTGAATTATAAAGATTTTTTTCAAAAAACATCCCTGAATATATGAAGGAGACACCTCACAAAAGAAACCAATATCGGGTCCAAGAAATGGGTATCATATTTCTAAAATATTACCAAAGTAGGCACAAAGAGGAAAAATGCTAAGTTCCACTTGCAAAGACAAGAAATAAGAAGAGAAACACACAGCCCAGGTTAAGTGGCATGAAACAGCAAAGAGACTAGAAAGCTTATCTTGCTCCCGGGGGATCCATATAGCAGAAAAAGACCCAACCACATGTGTAACAAATTCAAAACATTCTAGCCTCTCAGTACCCAGTGTGGTCCTTGAAAACAGCACCAGCACCACCTGGGTACAGAATCTCAGGCCCTGCCCCAGACCTGCTGAGTGGGACTGGGGTGAGTCAGGTGCACAGTAAGCTTTGAGAAAAGCTAAGGAGCCATGGTTCTCAACGCCCACTGTGCATCAGAATCACCCAGGGATGCTAAGAAGACACAGTGCCTGGGCCCCATCTCCCTGCAGTCCTGACTTGACCGGTCTGAAATGAGGCCCAGGCACTGGTGGTTTGCTGTTGCTATTGTCTAAAAGTTGCCCCGAGTGATCTACTATGCACCAGAACTGTGAACCGCTAGTCTGGAATGTGATTTTAAAGCATGGCTTGCCTGGTAAAGTCAGTCTTCAAGGCACCAGTTCCCGCATACTGTTTGGCACAAGCATTTGCATTGTCAGCCCAGGCTGTGAGAAAAAGTAAAACTCAGCTGATAATGATTGAAGTAACAACCAATGCTCTAAATCCAAAATATTTATTTCAAACTTTGAGTAACCTTGCCTCTGTTAAAGAAATTACCTACCGTTTTTGTAAATCTTCTCAAATTCATCTTGTTCTTCAAGCTTTTGTCCCACATGCAAAACTCCTAGTCTCTGGAATAAGAATCATACCTATGTTTATGTGTAACAGATTTCAGCACATATGACTTAGGAAGAAAAAGCATAGTCCCCAGATCATCTGTCACCTGGCTGTAGGTGGGAGATGCTTTCCCTGTATGTGGGGACCACAGCACTCTCCCGCTCAGGCCAGGCTGCAAAAGCCTCTCTTTGGGCTTCCTTCTGCCCATAGCCCCCACTCTCCCTTGAGCCCCAGCACCGCAGGAACAGTGGCAAGACTGTAAACTCAGAGACAGGGGCAGAAGGGAAAGGACGGGGGAGAGGGAAGGCTGCTGCAGGATTCCAGCCATTACTACCTCCTTTCCTGCCACCCCCAACCTTCCACTGACTTTACCCCTCTACCTCCTCACAATTCACCATCTCCAGACTTCTGACCTCCAAACTTATCCCCTAACCCTGGGACCCTTTGAGAATTCGGATGAATACTACCTACCTACCTCCCCACAAACAGCCCTTTGCATATCATCTCAGAGGACTCCTGGGCATCCTGAAGCTCTCTATGGACTCCCCACTGGAGTTCACTGACCACAGATTAGGAACTCCTGCCTTGGTCTTTGTCTCAGACCCGCTACCCTCTTAGAACCACCATCTTCACTGCTCAGCTCAAATGACATCTCGCTCTCTCTCCCTCAGAATGGGGCCTGCCCATGCTCAATGACCTGCCCTCACTGGAAGGGGAAAGGCACAACTGGAGTCCCCACATTAGCTGGCACTGAGGCTAGAGACGTTCCTGCCCAAAGACTCTCTGAAGGTTGGTTAGGTTTTATAATACTATTTTTAGCATGTAAATTAGTTAAATACAGATTACAAAACCTAGTTAAATAGAGTTCTGTTAATCAGCCTTGGAAACAACCATTCCTAATATTGTTTCTATTGAAAAATATATTCTGAAGTACAATAAATCCAACAGACTGACAAGGACACAGTACCATACAAGCTAGAGAATGCTCAAAGAGGGCAACCACTCCTTTGGTATGTCCTACTTGAGGATCTGGGGAGGTATTTTCCCTCCATAATTCTGCCCTGAGTCCCATAAAATTGTCATAAACAAAGTTGAATGTTTACAAATTATTTAGGCAGGAAACCACTTGGGATACATTTTGTTTGCTCCCTACATCAAATGCCAATGTGATCTGGAAATCTGGGATATACATATTTTTAATTCCAAATATAAAGAGAAGAAAATATTTATACCTATTCTTTCTCAACAACACAGTCTTACTGGTAAAGCAAAGCTGTGTCAGAAACTTTATACCTGGGAGTTAATATCCCTTGCCAAACAATAAAAGAGGTGCAAACGAAAACAACTTTTGAGGTACTATTCTGTACTATTAAAGAAGAAATAAAACCTTTCTAAATAAAAATATTTAATGCTGGCAAGATTCACTTTTCACTGCTGGCTAGTCTTAGGGGTAACTGGTATAACCCTCTTGGAAAGTATATATTCTCTTTAACCCAGGAGTTAACCCAAAGGAAATAATTCAAGCTAATAATAATATACATAGGTATATTCTCTATAGTCTTATTTATGAGCCAAAAATATAGAAACCTAAATGGCTTAGTAAATTATAGCACAACAATGCACCTCTTAAAAACTATGATCATGGGCTTCCCTGGTGGCGCAGTGGTTGACAGTCCGCCTGCCGATGCAGGGGACACGGGATCGTGGCCCGGTCCGGGAGGAACCCACGTGCCGCGGAGCGGCTGGGCCCGTGAGCCGTGGCCGCTGGGCCTGTGCGTCCGGAGCCTGTGCTCCGCGGCAGGAGAGGCCACAGCAGTGAGAGGCCCACGTACCGCAAAAAAAAAAAAAAAACTATGATCACATATAATGCTAGAGCAAAAAGGCAAAATTTAAAACTGTACATACACTGACCATGATTATGGACAAAGTGTACATCCATGGATGGCAAGACACAAAACCAAAAAGAATTGGGTTAGGACGGGGGCATGTGAATGTTTCTTGTTATTGGTTTTTAAAGATGAAGTTTCTTTTTTGCTATATTGTTTATCTGATAAAAGAAAACAAGCATTTGTACCTGAAGCTGGGCCTGAAGCGAACGACGAGCTAACAGACTCTGGATCACATTAGTTCTGTCCAGACAATCCATGCAATTGCTGCGGAACACGCCTTCCTGGTTAGTCACCACCTTGCCGTCAGAGTCCACTAGAAAATAACTAAAACATATTTATATAAACACTCTCATACCAAAGTCAGCCAAGCCTACTAAGGACAGACCTCTTATAACACAGGTCCATGTCAGAGACATTATTAAAACTGAATTAAACCTAAATTAAAAGGTCAGATGGGAAATGTACAGTTCAGGTATATTTGATTACCAAAGACCAAAAGGAAGTTTGAACAGAAGAGGCAAGACAGCCCCTATCTCAAAACAACTGTAGCATCAAGGTCACTTCACCCAAGAGATGTGAAAAGGGACAGTTGGGAGTATTGTAAAGATGGCTATGGACATCACCGTGTTTCCCTAAGGCCAGAAGAGATCTTCCTTTGACATAATTATTGCACCTATGCCCCCTACGTCGGGATTTCTTGAAGCACAGTCCCCTGTGCTATCTGTATCAGAATTCCCTGAGATGTTTGTTAAAAATGAGGATGCTTGGCCTTGAAATAAACTGAGTAAGACTCTCTGAAGTAAGGGCTGGATATTGTGCATTAAAAATATTTAAAAATCCCTTCTTAAAATGGGTAATAGGGCTTCCCTGGTGGTGCAGTGGTTAAGAATGCCAATGTAGGGGACACAGGTTCGTGCCTTGGTCCAGGAAGATCCCACATGCCGCGGAGCAACTAAGCCCGGGAGCCACAACTACTGAGCCTGCGCTCTAGAGCCCGCGAGCCACAACTACTGAAGCCCGTGTGCCTACAGCTCGCGCTCCACAACAAGAGAAGCCACCGTGATGAGACCATGCACTGCAACGAAGAGTAGCCCCTGCTCGCTGCAACTGGAAAAGCCCATGTACAGCAATGAAGACTCAACGCAGCCAAAAATAAAATAAATAAATGAATTTTAAAAAGAAGGGTAATATATGCAAATAGTACTAAATTTATACGGTATAATAGGGTATTACTTGAAAAATCCGTTTTCCTTTCTCCCCTGAACCACCCAGATATCTGCACTGGAGCCAACCATGGTTACCAGTTCCTGTGTTTCTGTCATTTTTAACAATCTGTTCAGATTATTCTATGAACTCAAAAATTTGACAATGTTGACACAGTGTGGCAGTAAAGAGCATGGACTTTGGCAGCAAACAACTGGTTTGCTACCCTTAGCTCCTCAGGCAAGTCACTAGCTGTGTAACTTTAAGTAATTAACCTAATCTCTCAGAGCCTAAATTTTTTTCACCCACGAAATGAAGATAACAGCATCACCATTAGGCCGCTCTTAGGTTTAAATGAGATAACGTAAAATGCATATAAAGTGCTTAGCCAGAGTGTATGGGACAGAGAATACAATGAATACTAGATAATATTAATTTTATTGCAATTACTCCCCAAAATCAAAAAGTGAGGGAGAAACACAATAGATTCACCGAGGGCTAAAAATCATGACCTTAAAATTAAGGGTTTAAGGGACTTCCCTGGCAGTCCAGTGGTTAAGACTCCGTGCTTCTAATACAGGGGGCATGGGTTCGATCCCTGGTCAGGGAACTAAGTTCCCACATGCCGTGAGGTGTGGCAGAGGAAAAAAAAAAAAAGGCTTATAAGAATGTGTTTAGACTAAAACTCTACATGAGGTTCATGCCAAACTGGTGAAGTTCGATTAGAGTATGTATATGTAGAGTGCATATGAGTGTTGGCACCCCATTAGTACTTATAAACTAAATACTACATGTTTTATAAATATTATTTATTTATAATAAACACACAGTGAGACGCCCGCGTACCGCAAAAAAAAAAAAGCTGAGCAAATGTCTACAGAAGTTTTACTATGTTACTGTGTAACTGAAATTACACAGTGCATTAGAACTACACAGGCAGAACAAAATGAGACTGGTTTCCAGATTCCTACTTCTGGCTTTAAAAATAGGTAAAGACTGACATGTGCATAGAGTACAGCGAATATATGAACCCACACAGTAAGTAACACTGTAAACACATATGAGAAGTACCATAAAGATATTCAGACCCTTTGATCCATTATCCTACCCTCAAGAATTTATTTCAGGAAACAGTTTAACAGAAGTAAAAATATATTTATACCCAGAGTGATTCACTGCAGCACAATCTTTCATGGTAGAGAAAAGGAAACAAACCAGATGCCCGATGCAAAGAAAAGCATTTAACTGAAACTGTACTATGACAAAATGGAACACAGAAAAGCCATTAAATGCTATCATTACAAAGACCTGGTAGGCTAATGACAAAATGTGATAAAATGTTTAGTGAAAATAACTGAACATAAAACAGTAGCAAACTAACTTCAATTATATAAAAATTTGTAAATGCGTAGAAGAAAATACATAAAAATATGAAAATACCTGGACCTGGGTCATTTTTAAGAATTTTTAAATATTTAAAAATTACCAAGTCTCATCTTTCAGGGGAAAAAAAAAACTACAAATGAGAGTATAGACAAGTGCTATCAACCTAGTGAACTATATCTGTAAGTCTGTTAGATAATGCATAATATACATGATTAACATATGCACCTACCTCATCCCTCAACCTCTGTAGGGAAATAACATAGCTTACCTTAATTCATCTTGCATTTCTGCTACTTGATCCAATAAAATACTTAGTCGATCCCATCTCATATTTTTACATTCCTTATGGAAGTCAAAGGCAATATATCTACCAAAAGAAAAGATATTCAGAAAGTGACTAAAGATTATTCATTTTCTCTCTGTTAATAATACCTTCATAAGCTGATCCTCCTCTCTACATACACATCGCCTGGGAACAGTAGAGCCTCCTTCACTCTGGGTTTACCACTACACATATACACACGCATGCAGGCATGCACAGACACACCCACCTTCTCATGCTCATATCTACTGAAGGAAAAAAATACACACACACTCTCTTCTATCTTCACATGCTTTTCTAGAGGCCCTGAGATAGGAGTAAAGAAGCCCAGCGAAATGCTACAGAAGTGAGCTCAGGAACAGCAATCAGGCATGTTAATATAAAGTAGCCTTGTCCAACTGAATATCTACTGTATATTTATTCTCTACCCCCATGTGCAAAGAATAGGGTCTTTTTTTGATTTTAAGATCAATTAAGATGTTCAAAATGGTCAAATGCAATTCAGTCCAAGGAGGACTGGACTGTCTGTTGTATATTAGGGGCTGTGAGAAGAACAGAAGCAGGATGGTCCCCATTCTGGTTAGTCACTGTTCATCCTACCAAAATATTCATTATCACTATCCATACATCACACATACATGTGGTAGAGAGAATTTTCTTGTCCATCAATCTGTAATGGGCTGTTTTCAGTTATCTAATATTTAAGAGGTATAAATCTCAAAGTTAGAACATATCTAACAGTGAAGGTGCCCTACTATGAGCTGGAAAATGTTGCCCCTTGAGACGGGGAAAAATCATTAACCAACTCCCGAAAGTCAAGAGAGGAAGAAAGAATGAAGAGAACCTGGGCACCAGGGTACATGAAGATTCTCACACATTCCACTTCTACCCAACTTCCTATTCAGGGATCAAGTCAAGTCATAAAGGAGGAGGACTAGAAGAACATTACACTCTCATCTACAGAGTTAAATTCAGATTAGGTGTCTGCTCTCATGGAGCCTTGGCTCCAATGGCCGAAGGGACATCAATGTAGGGAGGGCTTCCAGCAGGTCAAGCGAGGGGCTTCTATCACCTCAATGGTTATCTCAGGGGAGAATGGGGTACTTAAAAATTAGTATAAAAACAGAAGTTAGCCAACTGTGATGCCAGACTTTGGGAAGACTGGGAGTGGGGGAAGCATTTTCAAAGGCAGCTCCATTAGAAGTGGTGGTGTGATAGTTATTTTTGGAGTGCTCTGACCATAGCTCTAGGCTTGCCTGAAAAATTTAAGTGGCTCACTAGCACATAAATGCACTTGGATTCTTAAGCTTGTATCCTTCTAAAATTACATTTGTTAAAATTACATTTGTATCTTCTAAGAATGTCTTACATCATTATATTTTGGTAACAATAGCTTTAGGGTGTTTATTCCTTAGCAGTATGTAACCTCCAAGTGCCCTGGAACACCAAGGGCATAACTTTAGACTCTGACTTATGCCTCAAGTTCTCAAAGTTAGCTGCTGCTACAAGCACTAGAGGCAACTCTGGAGGTAAGTATACCTGCAGAAACCCTCTGAAGCACAGACAGGGGCTTAACCAGGGGTGTACAAAGGAGGCAGCAGATAAACTTTTTCCAGAATAGACATGTTGGACTCTAAACCCAGTGATGCTGATTTTTCAGGTCTTAGGTATATTCTGAGTAATTCCTCTGAGGATTTTGAGGCACATCCTGGATAGGAATCACTTCTCTGACTCATCCAAGTGTGCCTGGGCAGGTTCCACTATGAGACGGCAGAAATGGGCATGGAGTAAGGGTCTGATAAATTTGCTAGAGTTTTTGAGTTGGACAATAGGCTTAAATTCTTCCTCAAAGGTTCATTATATCATTCTATTTTTGTGTATGTTTAAAAATTTCCAGAGGTTAAAAAAATTCTCCCCAAATAACCGAGTACCATTTCTTTTAAAGTCTTCCCCCAATGCCTGTGACCACTTCCTACCACAGTATACCCCCACCTCCTACCCCGGTTTCCTAATGCAGAAGCTCCAAATGGGCTGACTCATTACCCTGCACATTTCCACAGGGCAACTGTTTATGTTTTAGGATCCCCCCTCTTTTGACAAGGCTACACAGAATTTTTAACTATTGCCTGCTGCCTTACAGGAGGGGCAAGTTGCTGCTCCAGACAAGGCCGCCATGCAACAGTAAATTGCTCCAGCTCGTGTGGTGGTCAGGACCAGGCAGACCACACCAAACGAGCATGAGTAACTGAAATTCAAGACCCAATGTGCAGAGCGACACAAAGCCTCAAGGAGAGGATTTTAATCAAGGGCTAAACTTTTACAAAATTCAAATTAAAATTCAACTGTTAAGAAGTTATTCTGCAACATGAATTATGCCAGAGAAAATTTCAAGCTAACAAAATCATGCTTTTAAAACAACAAACTGAAATACATCTAGAGAGATCTATGTACTTACGTATATATGCATTGCACATCTACTGTGAAAATACCTACAACAAATTTCTAGTGAGGTACCTGATCATTCCATTTGCCAAGGAAGACACCATTGTTGCAAACGCCTGTTCAAGTGGCTTCTCTGAGCCCTTCTGATTAACCTGTAAAAAATTAAAAACACCACAGCCTGCTTTTTAAAAAAATATTTGTTTGTTTATTTATTTATTTAAGGCTGTGTTGGGTCTTCACTGCTGCACGCGGGCTTTCTCTAGCTGCAGCGAGCAGGGGCTACTCTTCATTACAATGCGCGGGCTTCTCGTTGAGGTGGCTTCTCTTGTTGTGGAGCACGGGCTCTAGGCACCTGGGCTTCAGTAGCTGTGGCACGTGGGCTCAGTAGTTGTGGCTCGCGGGCTCTAGAGCACAGGCTCAGTAGTTGTGGCACACGGGCTTAGTTGCTCCGCGGCATATGGGATCTTCCCGGACCAGGGCTCAAACCCGTGTCCCCTGCGTTGGCAGGCAGATTCTTAACCACTGTGCCACCAGGGAAGTCCCACCATAGCTTTCTTTTAAGTTTAATTAGAAGGACAGAGTGACATCAGCAAAATGGCAGACTAGGAAGCTTTAAGCTCTTATACCCTCACAAAAACATCAGAAAAAAGAGAAGCTGTCTAAGCCAACTTCGTAGGAGCTCTAGAAAACAGTCAAAGGTTTATAGCAACCAGACAAATGTCCAATCAAGATAAAGCCATCCTCAAAATAGTAGGACAATTCTGTAGCATTTTTCTTGCCCTTATCTCATCCTTTCCCCAGTGCAATGACGATCTTAGCTTAAGCAGCAGCAACACAGTTCTCAGCCCCCCTCCACAAATCGGAGCAGACCAGACCTTATTTGCACACTGCTCATATAAGCTACAAGAGGACTATAAGCCAAGACGCCTAGGGCAAGATATTTCAGGTGGAGACATAAAATAGACCATCTAAAGCCTGCAGAAGCAGCTGGGGTGACACTCTTTGAGAAATTAGGATACTCAAAAGCAGCCACGTATACGGAGAGTTTTAGACAGCCATATGCATACCCAAGCAAGATGCATGCTCAGAAAAGTCCTGAAAAGACCTTAAGCCTTCACCTCAGGCTAATCCCTACGTTCAAAGCAAGCCTAACTAAATAAGTGAAGGACTGCTCCAACACAGAAGCAGTCTGCAGAGATTAGGAGATGGGGTTGTTCTCTCTTTTTCGTTTTTTCCTTTGTCTATTTCAGTTCCTTGTATTCAAGGAAATTTCTGTCAAAACATTAGCTGAAAACAAGCTAAAAGAACGGAGACTTCAGTGAGCATACAAAACAAGGAACAGTCTTTGCAAAAATAGTTTGGAAAAGTCTCAAAACAAATAGATTACTACAGCATTCAATAATCAAAACAAAAACAAAATAAAACAGCAAACCCCTGAGAAAGAAGACTCTAACTTCCAGAGTTACTACATTATAAACATCCAATACCCAGTTTTCAAGAACAACAACAAAATCATAAGGCATACCAAAAAACACAAGAGAACAAGGCTTAGCTTATTCAATGGAAAAGGATAAATTGATAGAAACCATCCCTGCAGAAGCCTTATTTATAAAAAGCTTTCAGGGAATTCCCTGGTGGTCCAGTGGTTAGGACCTGGCGCAGCCTGGGTTCCATCCCTCGTTGGGGAACTAAGATCCTGAAAGCCGTATGGCGTGGCTAAATTAAAAAATAATAATAAATAGGACTTCCCTGGTGACGCAGTGGTTAAGAATCCGCCTGCCAATGCAGGGGACACGGGTTCGAGCCCTGGTCCAGGAAGATCCCACATGCCTTGGAGCAACTAAGCCCGTGCGCCACAACTACTGAGCCTGTGCTCTAGAGCCCTCGAGTCACAACTACTGAGCCTGCGTGCCTAGAGCCCACGCTCTACAAGAAAAGCCACTACAGTGAGAAGCCCATGCACCACAATGAAGAGCAGCTCCCGCTCGCTGCAACTAAAGAAAGCCGGCACCCAGCAACAAAGTCCCAATGCAGCCAAAAATAAATATTTTAAAATTTTTTAAATAAATAAATAACAAAAAGCTTTCACAATAACTGTCTTAAATATGCTGAGAGCTAAAAGAAAGCATGGACGAAGAACTAAAGGAAATCAGGAAAACCATATATGAAAAAAATGAGAACATCAACAAAGAAACAAAGTATTCAAAGGAACCACACAGTAAGTCTGGAGCTGAGAAGTACAAAATGGAAATTAAAAATTCACTAGAGGAGTTCAACAGCACATTTGAGCAGGAAGAAAGAAGAATCAGCAAACTTGTATAAGACAAAAGAAATAATCAAGTTGAAGCAGCAGAAAGAAAAAAGAATCGGAAAATTGAATGGAGCCTGGGGAACTTCTAGGATACCATCAAACAGACAACATATTCATTATGGGAGTCCCAGAAAGAGAAGAGAGAGAGAAAGGGGGAGAGAGATTATTTAAAGAGAAAATGTCAAAAAACCTTCCCAAATTTGATGAACGATATAGATCTTCAAATCCAAGAAGTGCCCAATCCCCAGATATGACGAACCCAAGGAAACACACCAAACACATTATAATCAAACTACTTAATGACAAAGAGAGGATCTTGAAAGCAGCAAGAGAGAAAGGACTCATCACATACAAGGGATTCTGAATAGAATTATATGCCAATTTCTCTTCAGAAACCTTGGAGGCTAGAAGGCAATGGGATGATATATTTAAAGTACTGAAAGAAAAGAACTGTCAACCAATAATTCTATATCTGGCAAAACTGTCCTTCAAAAATGAGACAGAAATTAAGACATTCTTGGATAAACAAAAGTTATGGGAGTTCATTATCCCTAGACCTGCCCTACCAGAAATGCTATAGAGAGTTCTTCAAGTTAAAATGAAAGGACACTACAAAGTAACTTGGAGCCACATAAACAAAAACATTCTGCTAAGGGAAATAAGATGCAAAGGAACAAATATTACACGATACAATTTATATGGGATACCCAGAATAGACAAATTTATAGAGACAGAAAGTAGAATAGAGTTACCAGGGGCTGAGGTAAGAGAGATAATAGGAAGTTACTGTTTAATGGATACTGAGTTTCTGTCTGGTATGACGAAAAGTTCTGGAAATGGTCAGTGGTGACAGTTGCACAACGCTGTAAAATATTTAATGCCACTGAGTTGCACACTTAAAAATGTTAAAATGATAAATTTTGTTTTAAAAAAAAAAAAGGAGCTAAGGTTTTATTCCCCCCAAAATGTAAGAAACATACCAGATTGATTATGACTTGTTTTCCATAAATAATTATTTGTGAATCAAAATGCCTTTGGAAACCATCCATCTAGAGAGGGGGAAAAAAAGTTATATACTTTACCAGATTACATTATAAGAATACTTATGTTTAAAAGTGTCTCCTTAAATGTCCTATCTCTATATTCAAGAGAATGACATTAAGATGGACTATGTCTTCTAGATATTCTAAATACCATGTAGTGAGTAGTAATTATAAGCCATTCTACTCTGAGCTACAATATTACTATTTTATTTCTGAGCATGTCAAACAGAATACACTAAATATTCTAAACAGTGTAAGACTGCAAATCTTACTGAGATCTCTAAAATCTAAATTTACCATGTCATTCAGTTTGTTTTTCCACATTTCTAACATGCCACATACACAGCCCTTTGGTTTATAAGCTCGCTAAGTGCCAGAACCAAGGAGAAAGGCCTCAAAGATGTTGAAGTCTGACTTATAAGAAATACATACATGCTCTATACGCAAACTATAATGCCACTAAGCTTCTATTTATAGCCAATGAAAAAAGCATGGAAGATACACACATGATTTGCTACTTTGTTGATCAGTGGCAGTGGTTTGTACTTGAGATTTGGTCTTTGAGACCAGTAAAGTGGTATTGATCCTCGAGTCTAAAAGAAAAGAAAAGATATGTAAAAAGAAACATACGCACAAACTTGTTTTTCTCACCTTATTGTCAGCGGTATATACAATATCAATGACTGCAAAAGAAAAAATAAAAATGCAATCTACTAACTATGAAAGAAATCCATGCATACAGGCTCCTAAAACTCGTATTTTGGGGCATGCATTTGGAAAGGACTTTTTCCGATTTTATATACATGCACTTGTGTAGTAGACAGTTGTGTTTCTCCTAAATTCTAAAATAAATCAATTTTTATCTACAAGTAAAAATTACCAAGTTACATCTGGTATATAATTTGGCATTATAATAAAACTAGAAATTGCTTTATTCATTCTCAAAAGAATATGTTTATGAACTTAAAAATATTTTTAGCCATTAATACTCTGGAGCAGTAAGTGATCCACAACCCAGATATTATGTCACAATGAATGCAAGGCAGGTAAAGTCAGTCATAAGCCAGCTGCTTGTCCTGTCGTCACTGCCCTGAAGAAGTCTAAGGGATTAAGCAGACCAGTGGCTCCATTTCCATAACTCTTGCACCTCCTACCCTACCCTACCCTCTCCTTTAGGGATTTAATTCAAGGGCAGAAAATGTCAGCAACTGAGTGCCAGGTTAATGGAATGTCCTTGTTTGGGGTGAACTCTTTCCATATTGTAGACAATGATATTACTTTAAAAAGGAGAGAAATTTCAACAATATGTCAGGAAATTACAATCCAAGTAGAAGAGACCAACTGGCTGACTGCCTAACAGACACGTTAACTTGCCTGTACAAATGAAGCTCTGCTCCCATTGTAGTGCACAATTTGTTCTGTTTCTACAAAGTTAGCTGCATGGCCTTCAGAATCAATTCCTGAATTGGAAAAAATTAACTATATTTATTACATAAGAAAAACATCAGAAACTCACTAATTCACTCTAACTTGAAAAGAATTAAGTCAGTTCAAATTAGTGGAAAAGTGCTTATAAAGCTAAATTTCAAACAAATGCATAGTCCACCATCAGAAAGCTCACAAAGCTCACTCACTCAAACAGGCTTAAAGGGAGTATTAACGACCTAGTAACAAACAAGTAATGCTGGCTGCTATTTAATATATCAATTGTTTATATATACACAATCCCTCTAAAACACTGTTTCTCAAATTTTGGACATATTTTAAAGAAAAAACAAGTTCTCAAAAACCTCTGACAGTATACCCATAGATCCCAATTTTGGAAGTTAAAACCATTAAACACAATATTAAATGCAAATGTGGGCCATTACATTAACAGTATTTTGTTATAATGATGCAAATGGTCCAGCAGATGCGTATAATTTTAATTACCAAAATGAAAGCACAAAAACTGTATATGATCCTACAATTTCTACAACTCCATGAATATACCCAAAAAAACTAATTTGAAAAGCACTGCTCTTAAATATTTAGCCTTGATTTGGTTAGTTCTTTCAAATGTTTGAAGCATTACCTTACTATCTTGTTTACATAAGAAAAGCTTGCTAAGCAAAGGCAACTTTCAAGCGAGTCCCTGACTCAAATTATTAGGACAAAAAAAAAAAAAAAAAACCCCAACAGATTTTTAATGATCTCAAATATTTCTCAACATTCTTTCTATCTGACGTACTTCTAAAACATATAACATTTTGAGGTGTAACATATAACATCAGTGTTTCTGTTAACATATTAACAGAAGGGAAAAAAATTATAGTCAAATCAGCAATAAAATGCCTTCTCAGTACGTTCTAAAATTACTTGTCAGAAGCATGGGCTATACTTGGTTCTGTCCAGAATTCCCACTAAGGAATAATATTTTATTATTTTAAATAAATAAAATATTTTAGTTAGTAGTTATTTTAAAAAGTGAGATTGAGAATAAGAGTGAGATTGTGTGTGTGAGAGCGAGTGAGCGTACGAGACATCTTTATGAAGCGATTTCCAATATATATTAAGTTAAAAAAACCCAAGGTGCAAGAGAATGTACACAGTATACAACCACTGTCTGCAAAAGAAGGAGAACATACTTGGAATAGCATAAAAATTATCTGAAGGATAAGTAAACTAACAACAGATCAGCTGGTCGGGAGGTAAGATGCAGCAGACGAAGTCAGAAATGAGAAATATTTTTTAACTGCATATCTTTTTATACCTTTGATGCCTGATCTATGTGACTGCATTACCAATTCAAAACTTTTAATTAAAAAATATGACTCCATCCAAGAAAATCCAGATACAAGGGCATTGCTAACTCTAATCCTGGTTGTGTGATCTTGGCCAGGTCACTCACTAAACGTCTTTCTTCCTCTGCTATATCACCTATACTAAAGGAGATTAACCAAATGACTTTTACAACTTCCTGGCCCAAAACTTCTATGATTTACCTAAGGGTCCATAGGATTCTATTCTGATATACTCTGGCTTAAAAAAAAAACAGAGTTCGGGAAACTCATTTTCATAATGACAGTAACTTCTAATACAGATTTTAAAAGCTTCGTTTAAGCGAATTAGCGTGTTGCTAGCACAAAGCCTAAAGAATAAATGCTCAAATGTAAATCTTCGAAGTTGAAGGCATAAGGTCAAATGTCTAGCTTCATACATGCAAAGAAACCAAGAGCAATATAAGAAAATACTTTCTGATATAAGTTTAGGTTACTGAAAACTATAGTGAGTTCAGCTATGCTCTCAGACATCCAGCAAATAACATGATCAATTCCTCTTAAAGCAGTAAGAAGCAGCCTACAGTGTCTCATTAACATCTGCAATGTAACTACAGTAGCTGGAGTAAAGTACAGAAGACCTACCTAATTATCATAATGAAGCAGGAGATAAATATTTAGCAAGGCTATCAAATGATAATGAAACAAATAAAATGCAAAAGGTTACATTCATGTTACCATGAGCCAAACATTAATTAGAGATAGATATAACCCAGTACCAAATCGTGCTGACAAAATTAATCTCACCTCTTACATAATAGCGGACACCAGCTCTGAAACAACTCCTCCTCGAGATGAGAATCCAATCAAAGTATTTTCCATTAATAGAACATGAGTGCATAGTAATAACTTAACTACATTAAGAAAAATATAACATATTGCAAAATCATATGTATTATTTTCAGATGAAATTTGAATCTATCTACCCTAGTAAGAATGACTGCCTTTAGAAAATAAAAAGGAGAATATGCACATTTTTGGTTCCTCATGAATATTCACAAGCCTTTAGTACTGATTGTGAAGTTCTGTCAAGTCAGTAACCCTATACTGACATACAGTCAGTGTGTTTTAAGTGGTTCATTACAGTGTTTCTATTTAAATAATATGATTTCCTTTCCCAGATAGTCTTAACCACTTTCTGCAAGAATTAAATATTAACCACATCACAAAAAAATCTTTGAATGAAAGACTTATACATTTAAAATAGATTAACCTTCCGATAAGAAATGGAAAAAAGGGGGGAAAAAGACTAAGCTACTGAAGTTTATATTATATGCATAATTATAATTACCAATAACAGTTGCTAAGTATATAAAGATTTACAGATCAAACTGTAAATTAAAGATTATTCAGAAACAGAATGTATCTCTCTCTTCCTCATAGGTTTGGGTTTGCCCTATGGTTATTTCCTATACATAACATTTTGCTTAATATAATTTGATTCATCCATTATAAAGCATTAAGAGCATAATAAAATAAATATCTATAAACCTACCTCCAACTTGCAAAAAGTATCAAAGCCCTGAATCTAATATCTGTTCCTTCTTCATCCCATCCAACTGCCTTCTTCCCCAGAAGCCCTGTGGAGACGATTCCCCTGCCTTCTTAGTTTCATTATATGCAACCATGACGTGAAAACACACAGCTTGCTTTTGAGTTTTATAAAAATGGCACAACACTCTTAAAAAACTTCAAGTCCTTGTTTATGCCCCCAGTAAGTATCTAAGAGTCATCCTTGCACTGCATGAAGCAGCAGTATGGTCCTCTTCATTGTTGTGCGCAATCTATAAGAACCATATCACAACAGCCCTAATTCTTCTGCTGATGGAACTCGTGGTGATCAGAGTTTGCTCTAACAGTGGTGCCGTAAACATTTTTGAAAAACTTCCTGTATAAATGTATTGTGTATGTAGAGGGGAAGGCCTGGTAAATCCATAAGGAAATGCCAAATAATTTTCAAAATAGTGGTACCAAATGATACTAGCAATATGAATTTCTTGTGATTCATCCCTCTCTATCACCTGGTATCATCAGACTTAATAATGAGTCATCTTGAGCTCCCAATTCTCAAACCTTTAAAACCACAGTACTAGAGAAGACTCCAAAGCCGTATTTACTCATTCATTCATTTGGAGCAGGGCACAAAAATGAATCAGACATGGAGTCTGCCTCTGAGAGAACTGAGTATAGCATGGAATATGTCTGTTTTATGAATCATTTTCTTCTGATTACAAGATGAATATCCATCCAAAAGCACGTAAGGAACGAAAGAAAAAGAAAAATCATGCAGAATCCCACCACCATGACACAACTTTTAAAATGTTGATGTATTTACTTCTAATCTTTTATCAATTAGTGACTCTCAGGGCCATGCACTCCCACTTGGGATGCCCATTTCACACTTTCTCCTCAACCTCCAGCTACTACTCACAGCTAATGGCACTGCTTCCAATTTCACTGTGAAAATAAAAGCCATCCACATGCTCCCACATCTATCTACCTACTAGCCTCCACGTCCACCATAGCTGCTTCCTTTCTACTAGGGCGGATGAGCTGGATGGTGGATAAACTGTCTATGTCAGGCCTTCAACCTGTGTACTAGACCCCACCCCCTCACACACTCAAGGACATTGCTCCAGCATGTGACTGTGCTCCCACCTTCTCCAAAATCTTTCTTCCCAGCATCTGGTTAACAGCCCCCATTTGGGGAGAAGTGGGGGAAACAGGAACATAACCTCCCTCTCTAATGGTCTTTTTTTTTGCGGTATGCGGGCCTCTCACTGTTGTGGCCCCTCCCGTTGCAGAGCACAGGCTCCGGACGCGCAGGCCCAGCGGCCATGGCTCACGGGCCCAGCGGCTCCACGGCATGTGGGATCTTCCCAGACCGGGGCACGAACCTGTGTCCCCTGCATCGGTAGGCGGACTCTCAATCTAATGGTCATTTTTAAACAACCAGCAGCATATCAGCTGATGAGACTCTCTGCCTGGAAACCTTATTTTCATTTGCTTCTGGGACACTACTCTCACTTGGTTGGTTCTTCTCTTCCTCACTTGCCTTTGTTGGTTCATTTTTCCAACTTCAAATCTTAGAGTAACTCTATATGACTCGTCCTTTCAGTTCACTTACTTTGGTTCCCCCACTTCAGAAGTCCTTTGTCCTGAGGCCTGTAGTCCGTGGCTCTAGCATTTATTCACTATCTAGAACCCCCTTCAGGCTGTCTTCTTTCTCCACACCTTTTTCTTCTCTATATGCATTTCTTCCTTTGATGATCTCATCCCACTTCATGGCTTTAAATGCCATCTATACCCTGAGGACTTTCAAATTTATGTCTCCCAAAAAAAAAAAAAAATTTACGTCTCCAACATGGACTTCTCTCCTAAACTCCAGTTCCATTAATCTATGTCTTCTTGACAATCTCTACTTGGATATTTACAGAAATCTCAAGCTCAACATGTCCAAATAGAAGTCCAGATACTCTGGCCTGCCTTCCACCTCGGCTCTTCCCCACCACAATGCATGGCTTCCTTCCACTTACTCTGGCCAAAAATCTTAAGACTCATACTCAACCCTCCTTCATTCCCCATGTATAATTTGTCAGAAAATCCTTTTAGCTGCACTTTCAAAACATATCTAGAACCTGACCATTTTTCATCACCATCAGCTACCGCCCTGGTCCCAGGCAACATCACCTTCCATCCAGATTACTACAACTGCTCCTAGCTATTCCTTGCATCCTCCCCTGCTCACCTTTGGCATATTCTCTACATCACTGTCCGAGTGACCCTGTCTTACCATGACAATCCTCTACTCAAATCCCAATAGTTTCCCTTAACAGTTGAAGTAAAAGACAAAGCCTCTAAGGCCCTGCATAATGTGGGTCCAGCAGCCTCTCTGAACACAGCTCCTACTCCCTGTCCATTCTCTGCTCCAGTCACACTCCCGCCTTGGGCCCTTTTTTCTTGCTGATCTCTCTCTAAGTACAGGAAACATCTGAGGACAGGTCTAGTCAAAAAGCTACACTAAACAAAAGCCAATGTAAAACTTCAGATTTAAAGCTAAATAGACAAACTTTCTAAAATCACCTAGAAAAAGTGTTCTATAATCTCCTTTGTTATTATTTGCCCATTCACAATCTCATTTTGGAATTAAAAAAACATACACACAATTGGCCCAAACCCTTAAAGCACTACCTAAATAGTACGCTTGTTATTATTTTATCCTTAGGAGAACTTAGAGAGCTCCAGGGTAAAACAAAAACAAAAACCAGAATAAACAAGAGCTTTTATCCTGACATTTTCTGATTTTTATTCCCCCACAACTGTGGAAAATGTTTCCTGCATTATTTTTCTGTTTTTAAGTATAACAAGCATAATAATTTAAGGAAATCATACTAACATAATGAACAAATAAATCACAGACTGTGTGTTAGTTAATAAGCTTCTTTGGGGGTATGTGATAGAAAGACCCCCTCAGTTTCTGCAGGGCAGAGTCCTGACTACAGGCACTCATCAGCACATTGTGCTTACCCTTTAACAGCCAGCTCACTTTGCGTCCCTATTTTTATTATGATGTCTATGTAAAGATTAGCTTTAAAAATGAACTTACAATTAGATAACCATTACTCATTTTGTATTTGTACTACACCTCACCCCAAGCATCATTCTTTGTACACCATGTATTTTCATTTTTCTGTGGCTATTTCAAATGACAAATATAATTTTTAATTGTAATTCTCCTCTCCAACTTGCTGGTTACCCTAGTTCCTAAGTCTAACTTTTTTAATTGCTAAGGAAAATTTTCAGTAGGCTAAAACTATTCTTGTTTATTGATACAAAGTCTAATAAAGCCAAAACACAGTGGACATATTTCTTCTTTTAAAACACCAGCCCCAGAGAGCATTAGTCAGTCTAAAGAGTTTATTCTATTAAAAAAACAATGGTCATTTACAACCAGTATTCTAAGATTTTATGTTAATGGTTTGATATTATCATCAAAAGAGATTTCTACTAATTCTAAAATACTCTCCTCATGTAATATTTGAGACTGTCTTTAAATCTAAATTCTAATAATATTTAAATAAAGGCTGCTAGAAGACTAAAGAGTAATATGTAAGGATACAGCCATATAATACCGGAAGAGCAAACCGATGGACCTGAAATGAAGATGTATGTTATGTTTAGGAATAAATATACTTCAAAAATAATAAAAAGAAGCACTATATAAAATATATTTACAGATGGGGAGGTAATATACAAATAAAACAAAGTAGTAAGCTTATGGGTAACTTTTAATTTTAAAGACATTTCTCTAGTGTAACGTTGTCTTTTTAATTAAAAAAATTTAAGTATGTGCTACAATCATTTGGGCTTGAACATTTGCAGATTTTGGAACACTAATAAAACTACATGAAGTTGCAGGATGTTTATCTCCCTCCTTTTCAGTCTTTGCCCGCAACAAGTTCACTGCTCCAGGGAAAAGATATCTCCACATTAATGGTTTGCAGTTTAAACTACTTTTCCCAAAAAAGCAAAGCAAATGCCAAGAGATAATGCCATTAGGCAAATCTGTTTACCTAGATTCAATACATTATGCTTCCTAGGTGGCCTCCTTGTTTACATCTCATTTGTATAAACCAAGAACAAAGGAAGGTGACACCTATGCAAGTCTATCCTGGGTGACTGAAGGGAGTCAGGTTCCCATAGGAAGACAAATGCAAAGCTCTCCACTGCCTGAGGAATTAGCTCTGGCCCGATTTCTAACATTATTCATCTACCAAGACCCATTCTCTCTCTCTCACTTATAGAAAGCAATGTACTTATATGGAGGTATTTTTTTCTTTATTTAAGGCTTCTATAGAAGATCTGAGTAAAATAATTAGGCTTCTTCAACCTACAATGATGTGGGAGGGTAGATCGGATCAAAGTCCGTAAGTTATAAACAGAGTTAAATTAGAATTCTTTACCAAAATCCTTGGCGATTAGGTAGCCATTTTATAACATGTATTCAATTAAAACTTGAACTGTAACAAATAAGCTGGTTTTATTTAGTATACATTACCTCTGGCTGAGCAGAAAGTTCTCTTAGAAGATGACCATTCCATACAAACCGCTGGTCTGCCTAAGAGAGAAGTTTTAAAATTAATATTCAGTATCTCCTGCCAATTTGAGTTTCTACAGAAAGAAAAGTATAACAATCAATGTCTCCACCTGGTGGCTAGGAGCAGGTCTCTTTGACATGCTGCAAAAAGAACACTTCCGGCATCCCTGTCTCGTTGCCTCAAGCCAGTGTTGCTGGCCCATACAGAAACCTGGCAGTCCTCGCAGGCTCTTTCTCTTATGAGTCCTAAATCCCCTTCCAGATCCATTTCCTCTTCTCCGTATCTTTTCTCACCACCCCTGGCTAACACCTGACTGCATTCCAACTACTAAAACAGCCTCCCTCGCCTCAAGCCTTAGCCTGGCCCTTCACACCCTTCCTCCACATGCTGCCAGCAGTTGTTGTCTAACATGACACGTCTCCTGTCTGCTGGAAATTCTTCACTGGCTCACAGTCATCTAAAGAACCAAACCTTCACATGGCCTAACCAGTCCTGGAATCTGGCAACCCCTACTTAACTCTCTGCTCTCATCTTTGGCCACTCTGACTTTCAAACTATACAGAAGAAACTCCCTCAACAACTCAGTAGACTAACCAATTCTCTTCATTCTCTTTATGAAACACAGCAACGGACACTCCCCTGTCCCCCGTCCCCAGCAGAAAGTCACGAGGAGTGGCTCTTGCACTCAGGCATAACCAGTTGAACAGTACACTTCCTGAGATTCAGACTGTGTGTTCCCAATCAGTTTGTGCCAGTTTTTCTTATTATTCATAACATAATTTAACTATTTTATAAATCAATGAAATATGACTTAAAAATAAACTGATCTTTCTATAAAGTTGAATGATTTACAACAGAACTTGATAAAAGGCAAGTTGCTAAAAACAAAACTTCTGTTGAATTAGAAGTAAAAATGGCAACTATAAAAGACTGGAGAAACAGTAAAAATATATGGTATTCTGCAAACAGACTGCTCTGTAAGTGTCAAAATCTTTAAAGAGACTCAAACTGGAAAGCATTATGGATATAATTTATACAGGAAAGACAAACAGGAATCAAGGAACCAAAAACAAAGAAAAGCTTATGATCCTACATCAAAAAATTGACCAGTCAATGTAAAATTTTATGTTTTAAGTTGAGATAAAATGTTTATAGTATATATGATTCACTTATCACTTCTGTGATTCCCCAAGTTATGGTAACTTTGACTCTTCTGATTAGCTGACAAAAACTTCCCTCCCATCCCAACAGATGAGATGGCTTCTTCTTCAGTTTAGCCTAATATTGCCACTGCCTCTGACTGGAACCCTCCTTCTCCCACTGCCGCCTGATCAATAAGGCCTATTCATCATTAAGTCTCGGCTCAAAAATCACCTTCCTCTGTACAGTCGTCCCTGACTCCCCCAGACAGAGTGAGTCCCGCCTTCCTTCAGGATCCCACCACACTTGGGTACCTATCTCTGTGACAGCAATTGTCCCTTGTTCTGTGATTGCCTGGACTTCCACTTCCCCAGTAGACTGCAGGCTCCCGAGAGGCAGGGGCATGTCTTTTCATCCTGTGTGGCCGGTGGCTAGTACAGTGCCTGGTACATGGCAGGCATCTGAGAGACATTTCATAGCGAATGGAGACTGTAGCAAAAAAAGCAAGAGTCTCTTTGCAGTTAAAAGCCAAATTTCTTCATTGCTTAGCTTACGTCTAAACTTACACTGAAGCCTACATATAATCTTACAAAATTAGACTATAAAGCCTTTAAGAAGCCAGTCAACTAAAATATCGATTTAGGACTTCCCTGGTGGCGCAGTGGTTAAGAATCCACCTGCCAATGCAGGGGACACAGGTTTGATCCCTGGTCCGGGAAGATGCCACATGTCGCGGAGCAACTAAGCCCGTGCGCCGCGATTACTGAGCCTGTGCTCTAGACCCCACGAACCACAACTACTGAAGCCCGCGCTCCACAACAAGAGAAGCCACCGCAATGAGAAGCCTGTGCACTGCAATGAAGAGTAGCCCCTGCTCGCCGCAACTAGAGAAAGCCCGCACGCAGCAACAAAGACCCAATGCAGCCAAAAAAAAAAAAAAAAAAGATATACGTTGAGCTATATAAAATGATCATTTTTATTGGTCAAATATGGTCAGTTAGTGGCAATTTCGTATGGTCCAAACTAACAGGTAACTGACAACTTTTTTTTTTTTTGACAGCAGCCTTTTAAATGCTGTCTGCCCCCTAAACGTATCTACTTTTGCTAACAAAAAATCAAGGCAGCAATTATCTAGGTTCCTGAACAGCAGAAATTTTATGTTGAAATCACCTGAGGTCCAGTTTTAAAGATACACTTAAGTCAATAAAATAACCAAAAACCCCACCCTAAACAAAAGCATATTTTTCAAGTTCTTAAGTTGTTACTTTTCTACTTGTAAAAACTATAAAAAGCACCACTGCAGAAAGAACATCATCCATTAGAACATTAATTTTACAAGTACAATTATGTTGCTAATGCTAATAACTGTTACAACACAGAACACAGAGAGCTAGGAAATTACCAACATTCATGTTTAAGCTAGATTTCTAAAAATGGACCCCTGTGATTCTCAATCCTGTCTGTGTAACATACACAGATTCTGGGGTCCTGAATTTGGAAATGAGATGTCTATTTGAAACACGATATACTTTCAAAGCCCCATACATGATCCTGATAGACCCAGGACTGAGAAAAATCAATATGTATTTTATGGATGAAATAGAGAAAAGCTCCTTAAAATTAAAAAAAAAAGTAATAATAACTGAAGATTAAGCTTACCCTTTCCAAGAGACTCATTTCCTGGAATTCTGGACTAGTGTTAGACAGCCGCTGCAAAGTATGGGTCAAATCATATGTTGTTGAAAAATAAAATCCATCCACACTCAAGACATGGTTTATCATTGCTAGGAAAGTTTTGTTATCTTGTAACTGTAAACAAAGGAGAGCAAATAATCAGTCTATCTTGTACTTGAAAAGGAATCTATCAACATGACAAAAGAGTGAAAATAAAAACCTGAAAGTTCAGCCCTGTTAAATGCCACTGGCTCAAAGACTGGGCAGGATGCTCACCATTTCCCCAGGACCTGGGACAGTTCCTGATACATGGACAATGCTCCACACCATAGGGTATTATATTAACTGATTAGGGAGACCTCCTTTCCCATTGGTATCCTTCACAATTTTTACTTTAAAGGGCAGAAGAGTTACTTTAACAAAACATCACCACCTTAGGTTATGACCTACTGTGTCCCAGACACTTTACAGAGATTCTCCTTTATCTTCAGAGCAACCCCTTGCTAGTTTAGCATTAATTATCCTCATTTGACAGAAGAAAAACATAAATTCATGAGGGGCCCAGTAACAGAGAGTCAATAACGAGAGAACAATACCATCCTCATTCCTAAGAAACTTTACTGGTTTGGGCTAGTTGGGAAGTAAAATGGAATTCTTTACCAAAAAAAAAAAAAAAAAAAAAGCAAAGACTGAAAAGAAAAGTCCAGGAGAGAGAGAAGTGGCCAAGATGGTAGCGTACGAAGACCCTGAGCTCACCTCCTCTCACAGGTGCACCAAAACTACAACTATTCACAGAACAACTATCTATGAGAGAAACCTGAAGACTAGTAGAACAGATTTTTCACAGCTAAAGATATAAAGAAGAAACCATGATATGGGTAGGAGGAGTGGAGACCTGGTATAGTCAAGACCCACACTCTCAGGTAGGTGACCCACAAATGGGGAGAATAATCACAATTGCTGAGGTTCTCCCCAGTGAGCAAGGGGTCTGAGCTCCACGTCGGCTACTGAGGCCAACGATCTTGCACCAAGAAGACAAGCCCCCAGAATGTCTGGCTTTTAAGGCCAGAAGGGTTTGTGTGCAGGAGAGCAGGACAACTGTAGGAAACAGAGACTCCACTCTTAAAGGGCCCATACAAAATCTCACATGCTCCAAGTCCTCTAGCATGGAGGCATTTAAAAGGAGTCTAAGTCAGACACACTTAGTGATCTCTGCGAGCCTCCTGGAGAGGCAGGAGGCAACTGGGACTGTTACTGGGGATGCAGATGTTGGCAGCAGCTGTCTCAGGGAGTTTGTTCTACCACGAGGACACTGGTGCTAGCAAGTGCCCTTTTGGAGTCCTCCTTCTGGCCTATTAGTGCAGGGGCTTACCTGCCCACCGGCAGGCCGGCACCAGTGCCGGGACACCCCAGGGCAAACAACAGAAAAGAACAATGAAACTAAGACCTGTTTTTCTGAAAAGATAAATAGAAATTGATAAACCTTTAGCCAGACTCATTAAGAAAAAAGGAGGTTGGGCCTAACTAAAATCAGAAATGAAAGAGGACAAATTACAGCCAACACCACAGAAATACAAAGGATCATAAGAGATTATTACAAATACTTGTACACCAATAAAATGGACAACCGAAAAGAAATGGATAAATTTCTAGAAACGTACAATCTCCCAAGACTGAATCGGGGAGAAACAGAAAATATAAACAGATTTATTACCAGTAACGAAATTGAATCAGTAATCAAAAAACTACCAACGAAGTCCAGGATCAGATGGCTTCTCAGGTGAAATCTACCAAACATTGACAGAAGAGTTAACACCTATCCTTCTCAAACTATTCCAAATAATTGAGGAGGAAGGAATGCTTCCAAACTCATTCCATGAGGCTAGCATTACCCTGATACCAAAACCAGATAAAGACAATTATAGGTCAACATTACTGATGAACACAAATGCAAAAATCCTCAGCAAAACATTAGCAAACCAAATTCAACAGTACATTTAAAAGATCACACACCATGATCAAGTGGTACTGATCCCAAGAACGGAAGGACAGTTTAATATCCACCAATCAATCAATATGATACACCACATTAACAAACTGAAGAATAAAAACCATATGATCATCTCAATAGATGCAGAAAAAGCTTTTTACAAAATCCAATACCCATTTATGATAAAACCTCTCAACAAAGTGGGTATACAAGGAACATACCTTAACATTATTAATAAAGACCAGGGAATTCCCTGGCGGTCAAGTGGTTAGGACTCCGTGCTCTCCCTGCTGAGGGCCCAGGTTCAATCCCTGGTCGGAGAACTAAAGTCCCACAAACCACGTGACGGGGCCAAAAAAAAAAAAGACCATATATGACAAACCTACAGCCAACATCAAGCTCAACAGTGAAAAGCTGAAAGCATTTCCTCTAAGATCAGGAATAAAACAAGGATGCCCATTCTCACTACTTTTACTCAACATATTATTAGATGTCCTAGCTACAGCAATTAGACAAGAAAAAGAAATCAAAGGAACCCAAATTGAAAAGAAGTAAAATTGTCACTGTTTGCAGATGACATGATACTATACAAAACCCCAAAGTAAAGATGCCACCAAAAAACTAGTAGAACAGGACTTCCCTGCTGGCGCAGTGGTTAGGAATCTATCTGCCTGCCAATGCCGGGGACACAGGTTCAAGCCCTGGTCCGGGAAGATCCCACGTGCTGTGGAGCAACTAAGCCCACACGCCACAACTACTGAGCCTGCGCTCTAGAGCCTGCGAGCCACAACTACCGAGCCCACGTGCCACAACTACTGAAGCTCGCATGTCTAAAGCCCACATTCCGCACAAGAGAAGCCACTGCAATGAGAAGCCTGCGCACCACGACGGAGAGTAGCCCACACTTGCCGCAACTAGAGAAAGCCCACATGCAGCAACGAAGACCCAATGCAGCCAAAAATAAAATTTAAAAATAAAAATAAAATGGCAGGATATAAAATTAATAATATACAGAAGTCTGTTGCATTTCTATGCAGTAACAATGAACTAACAGGAAGAGAAATTGAAAAGACAATCCCATTTACAACTGCATGAAAAAGAATAAAATACCTAGGAATAAATCTAACCAAGGCGGTAAAAGACCCGTCATTAGAAAACTGTAAGACACTGACAAGAAAACCATAATTCAAAAGGATATGCGCACCCAATGTTCACTGCAGCACTATTTACAATAGCCAGGACATGGAAACAACCTAAACGTCCAACGGTAGATGAATAGACAAAGAAGATGTGGTACATATATACAATGGAATATTAGTCAGCCATAAAAAGGAATGAAATTGGGTCATTTGTAGAGATGTGGATGGACCTAGAGTCTGTCATCGAGAGTGAAGTAAGCCACAAAGAGAAAAACAAGTATCGTTTATTAACGCATATATGTGGAATCCAGAAAAATGGTACAGATAAACCTATTTGTAGGGCAGGATTAGAGATGTAAACACAGAGAACAGACATGTGGACACGGGCAGCAGCGGGGAGAGGAGGGTGGGACGAACTGGGAGATTAGGTATGACATAAATACACTACCATGTGTAAAATAGCTAGCTAGTGGGAACCTGCTGTATAGCACAGGGAGCTCAGCTCAGTGCTCTGTGATGACCTAGATGGGTGGGATAGGGGCGGGTGGTGGGAGTGAGGTCCAAGAGGGAGGGGATATAGGTATAGCTGACTCACTTCATTGTACAGCAGAAACTAATACAACATTGTAAAGCAATTTTACTCCAATAAAAAAAATTTAAAAAGAGGAAAAAAAATGATACAAACAGACCCATAGACAGAGAACAAACTGGTGGTTGCCAGTGGGGAGGGAGGGGTAGGAAGGATGAACGAAATAGGTAAGGGAGATTAAGAGATACTAACTTCCATTTATAAAATAAGTAAGTCATGGGGATATAATATACAACATACAGAATACAGTCAATAATATTTTATAACTTTGTATGGTGACAGATGGTAACTTGACTTCTCATGGTGATCATTTTAAAATGCATAAAAATACTGAATTACCATGTTGTACACCTGAAACTAATATAATATTGTAAGTCAATTATACTTCAATAAGCAATAAAGGAAGATCCAGTAAAAGCAGTATATTTTCTGATAATCATTTTAGCTGGCTTTCCCAATGAATACCAAGATTGACATTTGTTTTTATCCTTGTTTTAAAAAATAATTTTTAATGTTTGTTACTGTTTAATGTTTAGCAAATGATTAACATGTTAATTCATGTTACGAATCTAAATACAAAATTTTTAATTTGGCCTCTTTTTGTAAAAACACGAAAGGTATAAATAAGCAAAGCATATACAGCAAGGAATGCTAAAATTAGTTACATAGCCTGAAAACAAACTATAGCAATAAAGAAGAAACTGTTCAAGTAAATATTACTAGGCTATTAAATGAAAACAACCATTTTTATTGCCTTAAATTATCATGTCTCATAGAGAATTAATTTATTAATATATTGATAGATATACAGTAAGAAAGAAATTTTAAGTTTAAAGTATAAAAACCATACTCTACAGCTTTACTTAGTCAATAAGACAATAGTGCTAGGACTGATTTTTTTTTTAATGTTTATCATAGGTAAGATACATATTTTAGAATAATTAGCTTTCTTTTAAAAACAAACTTTTTGTAATCCTCGGAATAAAAATACAGCTTAAAATTTTTAAAAAGCAAATACTATAAATAAAGTACATTTAGAAAACAAGTACTCAACATATGTAAATCTCTAAACATAATGTTGACTTAAAAAAAAGTAATTTTCAAAAACTAGAACAGGGTTAATGCCATTCATGTAAGTTTTAAAATACACTGCAAGCAAAAACAGATATTGTCTGAATATGAATACAGGCAATCTTCACTTTGCATGATAGGGTGGGACTATAAAAATGACCATGTTATCTTAATCTTAATAATCTTAAACTATCTTAATAATCAATAGGAAAGTTAGGATCATTTCGTGACTTAAAATTTTTTTAATCAACACATTAAAAACTCTCCTACTGTAAGTTATAAATGTATAGGGAAATGAATAGTAAAACGTTGTTTAGTATACTGTAATTTGAAACACTGATAATTAAAAATATTTTACTTCTGGTCAAAATTTATCAAGAGTAGCCTGAACAGTGCTTGCATTCTTCTCATCATGTAACTTATGATACCATCTTTTCTACACCCTGATGAACTGTCGTACATCTAAGCCTGAACTAGCTTCTAACACTTAATCCTGCGTACTATTAACATCATGAAACACTTCTGTGAGTTCCTTTAACGTGAAGTTTGTTACCGGCATCACTTGCTCTGGGACACGTTCAACCTTTTCATCACAACCACTTGACCATTAATGTCGGATAACATCACCTTCACTGAGACCTCTGGCTGCGTATCCAGAATCTCTTATTCCCACCATCAGCTATTTCTTCTATACTCTATTCATGTTCAGTTTGAATTTCACTTCTAGAGTCGTCATTTTTTGTTTCATTGCACTTTCATCTTTGGTGAGCTAATTCTTTAGTCAATATATCATGGTAACTGAAATTTAAACTGTGTTGTTGGGAACTGGTGTTAACTAAACTGTGGTAACTGAAATCCATGCATATAGGAACTGTGCAAAAAGAGGACTGTTTGAATGTGTACACATGCACACACACTTATATTCCCATGTGGCAAAACTGAAGAAAGCTTTCTCCCTAGGGAAAGAGGGAATGAAACGGGATGAGTGGAACTTCAAAGATAATTTTTTTTTTTAGTAATGTATAGGAGCATCCCTTTTATTTTTATCTCTTTTAACATCTTTATTGGAGTATAACTGCTTTACAATGGTGGAAAGATATTTAATATTTTATTTCTTCACAAAAAGGATATGAAGTTAAATCTACGTGTTGACTACATGTGCATTTTCAGTCTGTCCTTTTCTCTCGTATGAAATTTCATATCTAAGAATTGAGTCAGTTAAAAAAAAACCCAAGTGCAATAAAATATATGAACAGTTTTTAAAAAAAATACACTTTAGGGCTAGGTATGTAGAGTGACCATGCTCTATGCATTGTTTAAATAATTAGGTTTAAAAGAAATCCATCAAACATTCTTTGTGTTCCACCTCCCTTCCCCATCCACCCCATGGGACTTCTTTGGATTTTGCAATTAGTAAGTGCTTCCAGTTCTTACCTGAATATCAGTTAAGTGCAACATTGTCTTCTTATAAGAAAGGACATCAAAATCTATTGCTTTCCAGATTACATGATTGAAAAATTCACCTATTTTTTTCTTTTTGGTAATGACAATTAGATAATTACCTGCAAAAAAGCAGAGCCAAGTACACATAAATAGAAATAAGGCAACTGTAAAGCCAGAAATAGCAGTCCTTATTCTTTAAAGGCAAGAGTTACGGGAATTCCCTGGCAGTCGAGTGGTTAGGACTCCGCGCTTTCACTGCCGAGGGTGCAAGTTTGATCTCGGGTCAGGGAACTAAGGTCCTGCAAGCTTTGAGGCACAGCCAAAATAAATAAAGGCGAGAGCTGTGCTAAATAGATAAAGGACCCATACTTTTTGAAAAGCAATCTTATAATTTATGAATAGAAAGACCAGCATATTATTTAGACAAATTTTTACTGAAAGATCAAATTTTTTCTCAGAAAGATAAAAGTAAAAGCTTTCGGTAACCAGAGCAGTGATCCTAGCAGATGGAAAGTACAGACAGAGAACGCTTCTCTCTCACTCTCCTGTCCTCTCCAAAGCATACGGGCCTCTGCTAATGCATTTCCCAACGTGTAGCTTAAAGCATCATAGGTCATAGTATCTGGCCACTGCAGATATCTACACCTCCCATGTCCTTCATGTCATTCTAAATGGTAGAGAAATGTGCTGGGGCAGTATAACTAACTGGTTACTGCAACATTCCAAAGATGGGTGGTCAGGAATCAAGAAGCGATCCCAGCACCATGCATTAATACACCAACCCTGATCCTGGCCACCTCCTCCTCCCACAAATAAACCAGGGTAAGCCTTTACCACTAGATTAATTCTTCACAACTGTTCAAGGCTCTAACCACAAGTGCCCTCCCTGAAAGTTTTCCTATGTACATCTCTCTCCTAGAACTTGTTACATTGTTCTGCAGTAATTTACTATTTAAATGCCTCTCTCACTCAACTGTAAGCTACAGGACAAAAGGGACTTGCATCTTTTATAAATAACATCCAGCACAGTGCCTGATACGATAGGAACTTTTCAAAAGTTCAATGAAATAAAATTTAGATTAAAAACCATCACTTTCCTAATAACACAGAGCCACGGAGTTGAAGGTTTAGAATACTCTGGTCCAGGACTTCCCTGGTGGCACAGTGGTGAAGAATCCGCCTGCCAATGCAGAGGATACGGGTTCGAGCCCTGATCTGGGAAGATCCCACATGCCATGGAGCAACTAAGCCCGTGTGCCATATCTACTGAACCTGTGCTCTGGAGCCCATGAGCCCCAACTACTGAAGCCCGTGTGCCTAGAGCCCGTGCTCTGCAACAAGAGAAGCCACCGCAATGAGAACCCTGTGCACCACAATGAAGAGTAGCCCCCGCTCGTCGCAACTAGAGAAAGCACGCGCATAGCAACCAAGACCCAACGCAGCCAAAAATAAATAAATAAATTAATTAATTAAAAAAAATAGAACCTCAGGCTTACAAATTTAACCACTTGCTATTTCGGGTATAAATTAATGACAAACACCTACAGATTTATTGCCTAAAGCAAGATATAAAGTGTGCCTTCATCTTATACTCTAATAGCATCGATTTAATTACCTTCTTGTCCATCTTAGCTCATTTTTCTTACCTGCCACCAGATGAATTGTGCCCAGTATACCAAATATTGGTCTTGTGACAGCTGAAGGAGGAATATCTTTCTTGACTTTAAAGAAGAAAGTAAAGAAAAATCACTTAGAAAAAGCTCACCAACTGAAAGAGAAATGTAGTTTCATTTCAATTGTTACTTCAATATGCACGCTTTGTTCCAAGAAAACAATATTCCTTCATTAGTGTTAGACCTCCACTTTGGCAGAATATAAAACAAAGATGTCCGTGTTACATATAAAGGTCTCTGCCTGTCTAGAATATGGTGCCAAAAGTAACATGCTTCAGCAACCTCACTACGTAAATTAAGGGTTATTTCCAATGCCAATTTTCAACCAAATTTATTCAACCTCTTGTCAGAAACCAAATCTTTACCCCTTTAAGAGAATTAGAAAGTAAATGGAAGTTGAAACAAGATTTTAATCTCAACATGCAACAAATGGAATGCAAAAAAAGGGCTCGCCTAATTCCCTAATAAGAATGTGAGACATGGAGGCCAAGATTCAAGAGGGGAGGAGGAAGGAAAAGCCTCCTGTTCACGTCTAAAAGAAACTGATACAGGTATCCAGGGAGGCAATATCATTAGCTGCGATTTTATCAATAATGCCGTTATTAATAAAGACTACCTTACATTACAAGGTTCATTTCACAGTTGTTAAACTTTAAGCCAACATGTTTCACAAAACATATTTTGTACAACTCTAGTTTAGGGAATAATGCCCAAAAAGGGGGGGGGTAGGGTCTCCCAGTCAAAGAAACTTATTTTGCTACATCCATACTAACTCTACTCCTTCTCCCAGAGTCACAATGCACAGTAGGAAATTAAAGGCTATAAAATTTTTCTTTCAGTCACAGTTTAATTATCAGCCTGGGACCCATTTTGAAACACTGCTGTAAACTCCAGTCCTGTTTCTTAAAGGCAGTCCTGTTTTTCTAAATAAACTAATTCTGAATAAGGTCTAAAATTCACTTGTTTCTCTCAATAATTCAATTTACTTAGCAATACTATGCCATAATTAATTACCATGAAAAATGGAAATACCAGTGCAGTTTAAAGCTCAGAGAAGATTCTGAATATACTGAGATCATTGATAAACATACATGTACTACTGATACAGCTGTAAGTTACATTAACTGGAGCGTAATAGCAATAACACTATGATAATTCCTAAGACTATGTTGGTTTTTCAGGGAAGAAAAAAAATTCCTCTTTCGGTGGCAATGGTTTGTATTCCCAATGGTAAAAGGAAACTGCCAGAGAAACTGTGATCGACAGCCCCTCATCATCACTAGCTTCAGGTCAAAGTATCTCTTCATGTGTCTACCAATGACTGTTTGCTTATCACTTTTACATCCAAACTATTCAAAACCTTTAAGCTTTGTCCACTCAAATGGGTCTGCATTCTCTACTTACAAATAAAATGTCACTGAAAGGACAAAAAATAATTGAAAATACATGCATACTAAAGCTTTTATAAGACACTAGGTGGTAGGGAATTCTCTGGTGGTCCAGTGGTTAGGACTCCAAGCTTCCCCTGCCGGAGGCACGGGATGGATCCCTGGTCAGGGAACTAAGATCCTCGTGGCAAGGCCCACCACCCCCAGCCCGCCTCCCCTCCAAAAAAATAAAAAAGACACTGGGTTGAATCAATATTATATAAAGAAGTAGTGGGACTAAATTTCAGAAGTACACTAAGGGTGGTTAAAATCAGTCAGCTATTCTGAGAGAGCAGTCACCAAGCAACAGTCACAGCAAATGCCAAATTATCAAACTAAAACAGCTCTTACTTTATTTGGTCAAAGGAAAAGCTTACCAGAAAAAGCAGACAACCAAGGAAATGGAGATTTATAGTCCTACCTTTCTTACACTTTAGTATCCTATGCAAAATATCTTCATGTTTCACTTAATCCGTTCAAAGGATATTTACCATTTACCGAATGCCTACTCTATGGTTACTCAAATACTGCCCTTCAGAAAAAAATTAATACAGAACACTATCTAGAGGTAAATTTTTAAACATATGAAATTCTAAATGTGATATCACATGATACATTAATTCGTTACCAAAATTACTTCACATTAATCTAGTCAGAAATCAGTGTTCCACACAATTGAAAAACAAGTTGCTTTTCACACCCCAGAGAAGCAAAGCTAAATTATAACTGGATTGATAGATAAGATATAGATAAAGCTTAGGAAAATCATTCTGCCTAAAACACAAGTTTTACCCAGTGATGTATATATTATTTTTCATTTATTAAATTATCCTCATAGTCATGAATATTTTCAAAACAAAATCAGCTGTTAACATTCCACACACTTAATGCTAAAACAACTTTCTCACACTCAAATAATTCAAATCTTACAGCTAGAAAGGAACCTAACATACCAACAAAACCAATCCTGTTACGGTATTGATAAGGGAACAAATAAAGAAAGTTTTTAAATCCTTATGAATAGTAAAATGCTACCTAAAATTTTCAAGATCATTTCTCCTTTTCATGAAAAGGAAAAAGTATAAAATTAATGCATAAAAATCAAATGAGGTAGCAAGAATTAAAATTTTCTAAGAAGACACTCAGATATCCACACACTCACATGGATCTCATTAATTTAACTATTGCAACTTAAGTGTAAACTCTTTCTAGACACTTCTAAATCTGGCCATGAAATACCTGAGAGTGTAACTTCTGTGGACACACGGTCGATGATAAGTACATCATCTGCTCCATCATCACAAGCTTCCACATAGAATTTGTCAGGTGTGATATGCCTAAGAAGAAATTTAAAACCATAAATAATGAAGTGAAATGAAGACTTCCAAAAAAATCTGTTATAACAATTGAACAGTGTTTAAATTTGACATCATTGGGCTTCCCTGGTGGCGCATTGGTTGAGAGTCCGCCTGCCGATGCAGGGGACACGGATTTGTGCCCCGGTCCGGGAGGATCCCACATGCTGCGGCGCGGCTGCGCCCGTGAGCCATGGCTGCTGAGCCTGCGCGTCCAGAGCCTGTGCTCCGCAACGGGAGAGGTCACGACAGTGAGAGGCCCGCGTACCACCAAAAAAAAAAAAAAAAAAAAGAATGACATTTTCCCAGCTTCTGAATAGATAAAGCTATTATGCTGTCCTCATGTGTTCACTGCAACTCTTTTCACCTAATTTAATGCTGATACGGTTTTAATTCGCTGTAAAACTACCACTCTGACTTACGTAAGAAAATCATACTAAAATCTAATTTATACTCAACATGGTGCAGAAGGCAATGTAGCACAGTAGTCAGGAGCATTCTATGGAACCAGACTGTGCTGTGTGAACTTGGGCACGTTACTCCTCCCCTGTGTTCCTCAGTTCCCTTATCCATAAAATAAGGATAATACCAGACTCATTAAATTGCATTGTTGTGAGGATAAAATGATATACTCTTTGATAAGCATTTAGAACACTTGACACATAGTAACCAAGATTTAAGTATTAGCTAAAAACACTAAGAAACACATTTCCAGGAAATTGTTTAAAATAAACTACTTTAACATTTTTGTATTTTGTTTGAATGCCACTGATGTGTTCTTGAAAAAAAAAACCGCATCCTGCAAAGTAAAAAATAAAGGGGGTACAATTAGTAGAGTACTCAGAATTTATGCAACTTTGTAACCCGAGTCCAACAAAAATTAACAGTTGGCTCCTCAGGAGGTACAACGGATAACTCCAGGCAAGCAATTCAGCATGGCTGGGGACTGCCTCAGGAAATAACAATCAACAAAAACTAAATAAAGTTAAAATAAAGATTTGCAGGCACTAAAACAATGGAGACTGAGGCTGTTGTTGAGGTGGGCACAGGAGTAAATACAGGTATCTGCCAGGGATTGGTTCCAAATACCAAAATCTGTGGATGCTCAAGTCCCTCATATTAAATGGTGCAGTACAGTCAGCCCTCTGCAACCGTGGATTCAACCAAGTTGGAACCTGCAGGTACGGAACCCGCAGGTATGGAGGGTCTCCAGGAGCTGACCAGAGTTGGGGCGAGAACTAGCTTGTTTGTTTTTCCAGGGACTAATCTCTGCCGTTCTTAAACCACACTTGAAAGAACATCTGTCTGGGCAGCAGCCTATCTGAGGGCTTTTTCCTTTCCTTTTAAATTCTACTCCCTCTAGTCTACTCTTCTTGCCAATGAAAAATCTTATATAATAAACCCACACACCATCACTGACATCATTTTTTTTTTTTTTTTTTTTTTTTTTCCGATATGCAGGCCTCTCACTGTTGTGGCCTCTCCCGTTGCGGAGCACACGCTCCGGATGCGCAGGCTCAGCGGCCAAGGCTCATGGGTCCAGCCGCTCCACGGCATGTGGGACCTTCCCGGACCGGGGCACGAACCCGTATCCCCTGCATCGGCAGGCGGACTCTCAACCACTGCGCCACCAGGGAAGCCCCATCATTTCTTACTTACTGACCATGTATAAGCTATTTGGTGTTACAGAAACAAGTCCTGTAGCAGAACAAACTATACTGACCATTTTTGACTTATAAGTTTTTGAGGAATAATCAACCCTTAATTATCCAAATATAACTTACATCCTTTTATGGTTCATCTATAACTAACTTCTTAATATTTCCTCCATGGGGTGGGAATGGGGTATGCCAAGGAAATGAAAGTCAATTTTAATACAAAATAAGAAATGCAACAAAGGAAACAAATCTGCTTCAAATATGGCAGTCTTCAATTCAAACTAAATATATGTTCCTTTTTATTCCTGAATAGTAGTCCACTGTATGGATATATCACAATTTGTTTATTCATTCACTTGCTGATGGACATCTGTGCCATTTCCAGTTTAGGATATTATGAATAAAGCTTCTATGAACATTCTAGTACAAGTCTTAAGGCAGACATATGCATCATTTCTCTTGGATGACTACTTAGAAGTGGAATGGCTGGGTGATATTGTAGTTGTATGTTTAACTTGCACAAAGAAGGGAAAACGGAAGTGATTACAGACAAGGAAACTTAAGGGTAATGACTGTATTCATTTGATACTGGTGATGGTTTCACAGGTGTAAAATATATCAAAATGTATCAAAGTGCATGCTTTAAATATGTGCAGTTTATTATATGTCAACTATGCTTCAATAAACCTATAAAAAGAAGCAAAGTGAGAGATCCTGAAACAAACTAAAGGAAGTATAAAAAAACTTCCAGACAATCTAGTCATAGGATAGTTACCTCTAGTCTCGAATCATTAAAAAAAAAAAAAAAAAAAAAAAAATCCAACACATCAGTCCATATCTGCAGAAGATGTTTTGTGCAAGGCTAAGTTGCACTCCAGGAGTAAGTCAATAAATTTATTGAAAAGCTACCATGTGCTAAGCATTACACAAGTACTAGGGACAAGGAGGTAGGTGATAAATAAAAAAACAAGTACCAAATAGAAACAAAAATTTTAAACAAAAAGTAGACCTGAAAAACAAGACTTCTTTATAAAAGCCTTTGGAAAAAATTCTTTCTCTAAATCAGAGGGCATTTTATAAGCCTCACTCTTTAGAATCCCTCCACACCCTAACAACCCCCAATCTTTTAAATGCTGTTTAAATGCCTGTGCATCAGATGTCCCACTGCATTTCCAGGTCTTAAACAGGCTCAGGATCTGAAAGAGTCACGTGAAATGCTTTCCTACAATGGGAAATGCTTTCCTACAATGAAGATTTCAATCATGAGAAGGATGTGACAAGTTGTTGGTAGTTCCTGAGATGTTGAGGTCACGTGCAGGGACAGGAGAGTGGCCTCAGGCTGACAGCCAGCAAGAAAACAGGGACCTTAGTCCAACAACCACAAGAAAATGGATTTGGTCAACACCCTGAATGAGCTGGATTCTTCCTCAGAGCCTCCACTATGAAACGTGATTTTAGCCCAGTGAGATTCATATTGGACTTCTGAACGACAGTAACTAAGAGATAATACATTTGTATTGTTTAAAGTTTCTAAGCTTATGGTAATTTGGTACAGCAGCAATAGAAAACTACTACAGTGATCAAATCCCTCCTGGAATGAAATAATCTCCACATTAACCCCTGGCCAAAACACAAAAACACTTTATCTTCCTGGAACAAAACAAAGAGATGTTTCCTTCAATTGAGTTTGATACCTGGTGTGTGAGTTTCTAAGTGATAAAACATTTTAAAAACCATTTTTAATGGCGTGTCTTTAATTTATATTTTATTAAACCAAGGTTTTTTCCTTATGTCTTAACCTAAGTATAAGTAACAATGTTTTCCTGACTGACTAGGATCTTGAACACATCAATTTCTGGGCCATCCTACCAAAAGATGATGCCTTCAAATTCTAGTAACACAGTATGGTGAAAAAGTTACAGGTTTTAAGCTCTTACAAACCTGGTTTGAATTCCAACTCCATGCTTACTTGTCATGAGTCCCTGAACAAATCACTGAACTTCCCAGCTCAGCTTTCTCTCTATTAAAAAGTGGTAAGTGATCGGTGAGGGTAAATGAGAGAATATGTGTGACATGCCTGGCACTAAGAAGAGACTCCACGAAATGGCGGCATTATTTTTTTTACTAAATGACCTCAGACCACTGAGCTTCAGTTTTCTCTTCTGCTGTCTCAGTCTCTTGACAAAGCCATCACCACTGCTCCTACTCAGCCGCTTTAGTTTTACATTTGAGACAAAGGCTGATGAATGCTACACAGTTCTGACCACGAGTGAAGTCCCTGGGTTTTATTATATCCATCTTCTTCATATTGCTCAGGGCCCTAAGCTCTTCTAAATTCACAGCTGTATTTGGGGGGGGGCGGGAAGCTACCACAGTTTACTTCACACACATGGTGTTACTTCTTTAATAACTAATGTTATTCTTAATATAAGAGATGATTATCAACATACAATCTCAGAAATCAAATTCCTCCACTTTTTCAATACAGTGGACAAAGACACAAAGCTTGCATCTAAATGAACAGCCAGTAGAGAAATGCATTCTGTGTTCCCTCAATAGCTCCACCCTCTTATACTTTGACTTCTTTTATCTATATACAGTAGGCCCTCTTTATCCATGGGTTCCACAAGGGTGGATTCAACCAACAGTGGATTGAAAATACTCAAGAAAAAAAAATTCCAGAAAGTTCCAAAAAAGCAAAACTAGAATTTGCTGAACATCATCAACTATTTGCATAACATTTACATTGTATTTACAACTATTTACATAGCATTTACATTGTATTTGCAACTATTTACATAACATTTACATTGTATTAGGTATTATAATATAGAGATGATTTCAAATATACAGGAGGATGTACATAGGTTATATGTAAACACTACGCCACTTATATACGGAACTTGAGCATCCTTGAATTTTGGTAACTGATGGGGCCCTAAAACCAATGTATTTAAGCTTCTCACCTGCAAAACTTCTACCATAAAAATAAATTATTTGAATGAAGTCAATGAATTTTAAAAAATCATACTTGTTTCCATATACAAGTTTTGGTGTGTTACCTAACAGATACCTTTTAGTCAGTGAAATTTATTATAAAATCAAATATTTATAAGAGCAGAAAAATCTCCTATTAAAATTTTAATATGTATAATTATGTAAAAATATATATAAATACATAAATAAATATATTTCAAAATATACATGGAACAAAAAGTATCCCTAATATAAGCAATTAAAAAATTTTTCCCAACTTGACATTTAAATTTAAAACTGATCTGGAAGGGTGTGGAACACTGAAAAAATACATACATCTTGGGGACT